TTCGTTTAAAAAGAAATAGTGACAAATGCTAATTCGAAAAATGAAAATTTATCTAAAAAAATAATATTATTTAATAAAATTCTTTAAAATGAAAATTTTTAGTAATGATTTTTATGGAAAATTTATGCGCTCCATAAATTGGGTAGTCCTCGTTTAAACTCAAGATTTCATGTACCTTTTGATAATAAATTACTAAAAATTCCTATAGCTTTTCATGCACCTATATATAAAGCAACAAATGACGTAAATTTGATCTGTTATAAGAATTGCATTATTGATATTTTCCATACACCAGCGACCAACTTAAATAAATTACTTAATGATACTTTTTTTAATATTAGAACTGGAATTTTATTTTATACAATTATGTATCAATATGATTATTATTTTTTTTGACATTTATATGTATTATTATTTCTTTTTCGAATGTATGCCACTAATGCCCTTAAATGATTATTGTAATTATGGGCTGTTCAAAATCATAAATAAATAAATAAATAAATAAATAAATAAATTAGTGTACTATTTAACATATCTTCTTTTAATTTTAAAGTTCAGTGGGTGACATTTTATTATACATTTGTCCATAACATGGTATTAGTGGGCAGTGAAATTATTAATTCATACTTGTAGAGATCTTATAAATTTTTGTAGAATTTTTTTTTCGAAAACGAGTTTCACAGGAAAGCCAATGCTTTCCTGTAAAACACGTTTTTGATTTTTTACATTTTTTTAATGAATTACAGAAATATGTATATGCATTTTCGACCTCGTTCTAATTTTCCAATTCTCGTTATACTTTTGGAGCTCCTAGATATATCTTAGAACTGAGTCCAACTTAGGTCACAGTATACTTATTTAGAGAAAATGTCGTAATGTTTTCATTTTCTATTAAGGAAGTAGTTTAGCTTTAATATCATTTTCTTGGTAGCGGTATAAAGTAACATAAAATTTAATGAGTTAATTAATAGAAAAACAATAACATTGGCATTTAATAGTAATAACAATATAAACGAGAAATTAATAATTTTATCTGAAACTTAACAAACATTTAGATTCAGCAGGCATAACAAAATTTATTTCTATAAAGTTATTTCAACTTCAACGTTTTCTTAATCTTTTATATTTTTCAAAAAAAAGTTTTTAATATAATAAATAAATATAAGGGATTAATAATATGAACCTTGTTTATATTTTTTTAATTAATTATTATTAATAGAATATGTTTATAATTCTGATGCTTAGATACTTATCATTTAACCTCAAATTTTATTTCCTTTGATAACTTTTTTATTGGGTGGATTGTCTCTATAAACTTTTAAGCTTCTTTAATCTGCATTCATTATAAAAGTACTTTTAACAAAAGTCTGATAGATAATTCTTAGAAAATTATTTCTCATTTTGTTATATACAAATTTACTTGGATGATTATTATGAAACACATGATTATTCCATAAAACTCATTAGAATTTTCATTTTTAAGAATTTTATGAGATACCTATAATTATTAATTTTTAATGAATTTTCATTTTTCTAATAGATTTTTTTTACAGAATTTCTTTTTAAACAAATTTTTACTTTACAGAATTTTTATTTGGAAAAAATGTTTATTTTACAGATTCTCTCTTTACACAACTTTTAATTTAAAAAAATTCTAATTTAACCAAATTTTAATTTAGCATAATTATTATTCAATTGAATTTTACGTGATTCAAATTTTGCAATGTTAGAATTTCTAAAACACCGACTCTTCATTTGTCCGAATTATTATTTCATTGATTTCTTAAAACACCGAATTTCCATTTGTCCGAAATTTCAAATGACCGAACAAACAATGGGCAGAAATTTTCGGTGTAATTTTTAAAATTTACCAATTACGATTTTTTTGATAATTTCTAATTGATAAATTTTAAAAATTGCGCCAAAATCTTTCTTTCTGTTTTTTATTCGATAATTTACAATTTCGGACAAATGAAGATTCGTCGTTATAAAAATTTGTTTAAGTATATTAAAAAAATTTAAAAAATTAGATGACAATAAAAACGGGATAATAAAAAACTATTAAAGATTGCCATTAGAAACTGTAGCGACCTATTAAAAGTGCGTGGGAAGTTCAAAGCGTTATTGATGCATTGTATTCTAAATGTCATTTCTAGAGAATAAGAAAGTTTCAAATATTTGACTAAAATGGAAATAAAGTCGCAAGTGTACAATTATTTTTTTAAGTGAAAATGTCGACTATTGTAGTTTTGTTAAAACTTTCCTTTTTCTTTCTCATAGAGAAATCATATATTAGTGAAAATTTTCGATTGCGATTTTTTTGACATATTTCGACATTTTTTCAACTTATGGTTTAATGTCGAATTTTCAAAATTTGATCTAACTTTCTTTGTATCGAGATAAACCGAACCAAATAGTTCAAATGTTGAATTTTCGAAATTCGATGGAATCGAAATAAATCGAAGAGCAATAATTTACGATGGAGTTTTTTGCCTACTGAAATAAATATTTTAAATCTTGAATTTAAATTTTTGATTTTAATTTCGAGATTTTCTATCTTAATTTTAATTAATTTTAATAAATTTAAATTTTTCATAAAGGTATAATTAAATTTACTTACCAAAATTCATCTTCAACATTAAATAGTTTTTTTTATGTAGATCAATTAATTCTCTTAAATTAAAGAATTTTGTTTAAAAAGCATTAAATATTGAAAATGTGGAGAATTATGAAATGAACTATTCTTGTAAAGTGTAATACACATTTCTAATCGTAAGCAAAACGAGTTCGCTGACCGACGTGGTGCATAGGATGTACATAATCGCAGTCCGTTTAAAAATCGTCTGAACGAAGAGACCGTGACAGATCGTGACCGACTTATTGCATTAGATGCATCACGACATACAGTCGACCCAAATGCCTATTTTATCCAGTAATAGTTTTAAAAGTAATTAATTGCTAAGAAACAGATGGCAAACGTTCCATCATAACTTCGATTTAACACTTTCGACTAACAGATAATTTCCATTTAATAAAAGATAATATATTGCACATCATTTGAATCCATTTTATATACCCTCTTTAATTTAAGTTTATAAGTATTTTGTACTACATATTTATATTTTTTTGGGCGCATGATTATCCCATTAAAATCATTAATAAGAATTTTCATTTTCAACAATTTTATTAATAATTCTTTTTTAGACCGAATTTTTATATGATAGAATTTTTAAAACATCGAATTTTTATTTGTCCAAAATTGTAAATGGCCGAACAAACAAAATCACGATTTTCTTGCGACAACTTTTGATTGGTGCTTTTTAAACATCGCGCTGAAATTTTTCTGTCGATTGTTTGTTCGGTCATTTGAAATTTCGGACAAATTAAAATTCGGCTTTTTAAGAATTCTGTACAATAAAAATTCGATACAGTTCGTTAAGTAAAAATTTGTTTAAAAAGAAATTCTGTCAAATGTAAATTCGAAAAATGAAAATTCATCTAAAAAATACCTAATTATTTCTAATAAAATTCTTTAGAATGAAAATTTCAACTTATAATTTTTATGGTATAATCATAAGCTCAAAAAAATTTTATTTTTTTATTTATCAATTATTTTACATTAATGTTTGTGTTACGAATGAAGGTTTGAATTTAAATTCTCTAAAACTTAATTATTGTTAAAAAAATTCGTAAAAAATTTTCAGTAATTCAAATTTACAAAAAATTTCAATCTAAAATCTTCTGAAATTCAATTAATTCTAAAAATCTTAATATAGGAAAACTATTCAAAAATTTAAGAATTTATAAATTTTTATTTAAAATTCTTCGACAAATCAATATTTTTTAATAATTTTAATAGTTTTTAAAAAATTTCATTAGGGTAAATATACTAATTACGGCGCGATTGAAGTCAAAATACCTTTGAAATAGAAAATTCGAAATTTCTATTGTATAAAGTAAATTGAAGACTTATTAAACTAAAAGCTAATGTTATTTAGATATTAAAAAAAAATTTTAACTTTTTAAAAATCGATTATTTAAAGAAGTATGATAAATTAAAACTAATACCGTACTTTTCTATTAATGCGCGTTTGTATCAGTTTCGGTGTATCAATTTCAATGACCAAAATTATACGTGTATTTTGAAGATACTTTGCCCGCTGTAATTGAAGCCAATGGAAATCTTAAAAATGTTTCAATTACGTCGAGGGAAAAAATTCGATCTCAAATAATTAAATTAATAATTGTTTAAATGTGCATCTTTATAAGTAATTGTATCAAAAAAAGATTAAAATAATTTTTTTTAATCATTTTGCAACAGTTATATTATATATAATAGTAATAAAAGTTATTTTTATGAACGCGCCGTAATTGGTAGACTTACGCTATTTTGAAAAATGTTTAAACAAAATTTTTTTAAAATTTTAACCCTTTGCGTCTTACTTAAATTTTTCTAGTATTAAAATTTACAAATTGATCGGATTCGTTTGGAACATGTTACTCGGAGGTTATCGGGGTCGCTGATTACAAATCTGAAGTCCGTTTTTAAAAATTCAAAATCGCGGATCTAATATGGCGGATGAAAAAAATTAAAAATTAATCGGATTCGCTTGAAACTCGTTACTTGGGGGTTTTCGGGGTTGCTGATTATTATGAATCTGAAGTCCATATTTCAAAATTCAAAATGGCGGACGAAAAAATAAAAATGATTCAGATTCACTTGAAACTTGCTACTCGAGGGTTTTTGGGGTCGCTGATTACGAATATGGCCTTCCTTTTTGAAAATTCAAAATGGCGGAACTAATATGCGGAAGAATTTTAAAAAATTTGTATTAGGAAATAGAAGCAGGCGCTTCATATTGAATTTCTTAAAGACTAATAATAATCATTTTATAAAAAAATTCATTAAAACCAGTTAATAATTGTGATAGCTCTGATTTTTGTCTCTAAAATTTGCATTTTCCATGCTTATAAATAAACAAAATAAAATCAGCTGTTAATATTTTTAAAAAATTTTTATTTTGATCAAACTATTCTTATAGTTTACTATACAGTCACACATGTGTATTTGTAATATTCATATAATTACACTTTTTACTTCATTTAAAAAGAATGTTTTCTATTTTCATATTTTCATACATGCACATATACAAAATGTATATACATACACAATGAACATTTTATAACTACATTAATAGTTAACGTTACTTGTAAATGTAAATTAGAAATTTAATACTATCTATTAGTATTGAGATTAGTTTATCCCAGAATTATAACACAAATTTTTTAAAAGAACGTAAATATTTTCAAAAAATTATATCTCCCATACTTAAGAGACAATTCTATACAAATCTTCATTTTTATCAACGCTTTATACCAAATCTTTTGCATATTAATTACAAACTACAATGACATTTGTAAATTCGTTGTTAGTTATATATTGGAAGTATAATTCTCTTTGAAAAAATGCATATTCTATTTTGCTTGTAACTATTACGGTATAGCTTCAAACTGCTATCATAATTGGTATGTTAAAATGAATTTTCTCATTAGAAATAATATATTTCAGGTACATGAATTCAAAAATTTTTTTTTCATCACATCTTTCATTTCAAAAATTGTATTTTCCAAAAAAAATTTTTAATACAATTATTATTTTCTATACAAGACCTCATTTATCAAGAAAAAAATTATTAAAACTTATTCATCTTACAAAACACTCGCATAACAAATTACTGGCAACATAAAGACTCAAGTTTTAATTGACAATTATTTATTCCAATTCAGTTTTAAAAATGAATATGCATCAGAATGTTTTTTTTAGCCAAAAATTAGCAATTGGTGTACTTTCATCAATAATAAAAATTATTTATAGAAGACAATTTTTGATAGTAAACGACTATTTTAAAGGGCAATATAATTTTTAAAAGAACCGTATTTTTTGTGAGTGCGTTAGGAAGTACTTTTCATATTTTCTTTTTCATAAGACTCAATATTTTATTCTAAAAGCATAAGAAAAATATTAAGAAAAAACTTTTTCATGAAAAAAGGCATTTAAAAAAAGTAGGCTTTTTTGGAAGAAAAACATTTTAATTTGAAATCAAATCAATTCGTAATATTTTTTTCAAAGATACGATATTAAAATGACTTTCTATAAATTAATTGCATATATTTAACTTTGTACATACATGTTTTGCTTTATATATATTCCAGGGTTGACACAAGAATAAATTTTTTAATTTTCCTCACATTAAAAAACTTTCCATAACAATTTTTTTTAAATTTAATGATTTATAATTGAAATCTAATTTGAAATTAGAAAAACGTGTTTTTCTACGATATTTCAGTTTTCACTAAATACAAAATTTTTTAAAACTTTTTCCAAATTTCCCTGACTTGTGGTTACCCTGGTATTCGCATCGAAATTTAAAAATCTTTCTCTGAACAAATTGTTTTGCTTATTCTTATATAGCAACAAAAGTTGTCTACCTGGGGTTTTATGCTGCCTATTTAACTTCAAGTTATTACAATAACTAAAAAGTATTATTATGTTTTATAATATAACAGCTTTGAAAACATGTTTCCAAAAATGCAATACTCCTCGTCTGTCGCATCAAATTGAGTTACACAATTATTATGGTAATACTGCGATTTTTTAAATGTTGCAGTAAACAATATTTATAATTGAATAATTATTTGGTATGAACTTAAGCTTTCGTACTTAAAACAAATTGTTTAAAAGCAGTAGATTTTCTGAAGAAGACAATTTCTGATATCATTCATGATAACAAAACAGAAAAAAAGAATACTAAACAAACATTTACTTCTTTTTTAATGATGGCATTACTGTCTTTATCTAAGAACCAGTAACATTTTTTCGAAAATTTGTTTGGCATTTAATCATCCTTAATTTAAATTGTTTAAGGCGAATATTTTGGTCGTTGTTGTAAGTAAATTTAGAGAAGGGTACTTTATTTCCAATCCTTTTTAATATCAAAGGACCATTCCCACTTCAGGTGTTCGTTTTCATCGTCATCGGTGAAGAGAGACTGAACGGTGTAAGAACCTCTTGCTACAACACCTGCAGGTGCATCTTCTGATGGAGTAACGTATGATTGAATTTCCATTTTTGGAGGATAAGATCCTACCATATGCGTCATTTTGTCAACTAAAATACAGTATCTTAATAAAGAAAAACCGCATCTTATTATGCATTCAATTCGTAAATATTCCACAAAAATTCATGATAAATTGCTTATAGTTTTCAAATGTTTTAATTATTTTAAATTTTTTTCCACAATTTTTGTTATCTCTCCAATTTAACCTCATTTAATCATATCTTTAATAAGATGAGAAATTATCATAATAAATATAATTTTATTTTCATTTTATTTAATAATATGTTTAATGGATGTGTGTGTAGGTCACAAAATATTGTGTACAAATTATCTCAGAAACGTTTTAACGGATTGTCTTGAAATTTTATATGCTTATTGTAATCATTAATACCTAAAATCTGACACAAGAATTTCCGAATATATTCACAATATTTTATTTTTTACAATTTTTTCAAAATTAAAAAAAAATTTATTTCTAAATATTATTTTCTTTGTAAATTTAATTTTGTTTAGTAAAAAAACTTATTTCTTGCATTAAAACGAGTCGATTAGCCTATATAAAGTTCATATTTTACTGAAATGTATAGATTAAATCATTTTTTTGAATTTTTGAAAATAATCGTTTTTAGTATTTTTTGAAATAACTTTTTCTGATATAAAAATTTTAATTAATTCTTGTCAAAATTGTATTCCTGGCATAAAAACGAATCGATTGAGGTATACAAAGTTTACATTTTACTAATATTTATAAAATTGATCGCTATTTTAGTTGTAATCCTTCTTTTAATCTTGAATATAAGTGTATCATGATGAGGAAGCTAAATGGTCATGAAATGAACACCTAGTTTTCATTTCCATTATTATATTATTATATAATAATAAAATGCTTGGTCTGTCCTTCTGTCCTAACTTGAAGTTGGTATATACTGATTTCACGTGTTTTTTGAATTGTAATGTTATGACGGGTCAAATTTGTGTTAAATTTTGAAAATTACTTTTCTCATTTTTGACAAAGTTGTATAACACAGGTTTACAGTGAAATTGTCACTCGAACAAAACATTTTTTTTTCGATTAATATGTGTTTTTTGAGTAAGAAAATTATATTTTAAATTTTCTTCCCTCGTGCAATTTTTTTGGAACAGCAAATTATGCATTTTCGAGGTGTGACGTCACATAAAGTCACCGGTAGAGAAAGCAGTTAATCCAAATGTAAAAAATAATTCACCAGTTGAAAGATAATAATTAAATTACCTCTCAAACCATTGGTCAACCAATAAAATCCATTCAAAATTGTCAGAGTTACAGTCGATCAAAGTTCAAATTTCAAGCAAATTTATTATTATTATTGAACAAAGTACTTTTTCACTTTTAATATATTTTCAAGTGATTTCGATCTATATCAGTTTTGTATAAAACTAAATTAAGCGAAGCTGACCAAAATGAGTACTCGGGGGTTTTCGAGGTCGCTGATTACGAATTTGAGGTCAGTTTTTGAAAATTCAAAATGGCGGATCCAATATGGCGGACAAAGTTTTAATAATTAGAGCTAAGTACTCCATTATGAGTACTCGGGAGATTTCGTGGGGGAGTTTCCAATTATATAAAATATAGTACTATTTGAAATAAAATCAAACCAGACTATAGATATTGTCACTACGCGATAACGTAAATAAAATTATAATATACGGGATCCGCCATTATGAATTTTGAAAAGCTGACCTCAGATTCGTAATCAGCGACCACGAAAACCCCCGAGTACTCATTTTGGTGATCTTTGCTTAACTTTGTTTTATACAAAACTGATATAGATCGAAATCACTTGAAAATATACTAAAAGTGAAAAAGTACTTTGTTCAATAAATCTAGTGTAGAATTGTCATTTTTTATCCGATCGAGGTCTATAAAGGCTTAAAAGTTTCATAATTAAATATACTATTAATAAAAAAATTTAAACTTACATTTTTTTGCTTGTTTGACTTTGAAAAAATTAGCGAAAGTTAGACGAATGTCTAAAAGTCATTAAAATTTGCTTGAAATTTGAACTTTGATCGACTGTAACTCTGACAATTTTGAATGGATTTTATTGGTTGACCAATGGTTTGAGAGGTAATTTAATTATTATCTTTCAAATGGTGATTTATTTTTTACATTTGGATTAACTGCTTTCTCTACCGGTAACTTTATGTGACGTCTCACCTCGAAAATGCATAATTTGCTGTTCCAAAAAAATTGCACGAGGGAAAAACATTTAAAATATGATTTTCTTACTCAAAAAACACATATTAATCGAAAAAAAAATGTTTTGTTCGAGTGACAAAAAAAAATTTTTAAGTTGTAAACCTGTGTAATTGTGTTTTCAAATTTAGGAATCGGTTTCTTTAAATTTTTTTATAATAAACAATGCAATACTCAATTTCGCGCGTTTAATTTTGCTAGTTAATTAATAAAATTATATTAAAAGTTTTTATTTACCATTATTCATTTATTTTAACTTTATTAACCCTTTGAATTTTTATTTGAATAATTATAACTTGACTTTGAATAATTTAAAAACAATTTATTTAATCAATATAATAATTTTAATATTTTCATTAATTATATATTTTATCTGAATAATTTTTCTTTTTTTTAAATTTATTTCAATTAAAGTTTACTTTATTAATTATCAAATTTTAAAACTTTATAATAGGGTATCTAATCCTAATTTAAAATTATTTATTTTAATTTATTATTTAAATTTCAATTAATTGTTTTTAAATTATTTATATTCCACTATAAAAATTTTAATTTAAATAAATTAATAATAAATTAATTTTTCATCCTAAAGTTTAACAGCTATTATTGCTGGTACTTTATTTATTTATAATAAAAATGTTACAAAAGAATAATTTCTTAAATTAAAATAATCTTATTAATTACAATAAAATTTAATTTAATAAATTATATATTATATTAAACTAATAAATTAATATAAATTAACTTTTTATAAGTTTTATTTAAAACTAAAATCTTGAAACTTGCAAATTAGAATTTTTTATAAAGTATAAAACTATCTTATAACCTTTTCTCAATATTAAAAAAAAAAATTAATTACAAAATATGTAAAATATAAAATTGTTAAAATTTTACCCAATTCTATGAAAGGTGTTTCAATTGATTTTATTCCAGTTCAAGTTAATAAAATAAAAATATAATGAATCTTCCATGAAAAATTTAATTCACTTGATATCTTCTTATACTTTGAAAATTTGTTTTTTTTTAAACGGTAATAATATTAAAATACATACAGATAAATATAATGCTACTACCTCACCTAACTTATTAGCAATTGACCGTAAAATTGCTTAAACAAATAAAAAATATCATTCTGATTGAATATGAATAAAGGTTACTATGAAATTAACAACATTAAAATTTTCAGGATCTCTTAATAGAATAAGGAGTTAAACTGTGAGATTCTAATAAAGAATTATAAATTGCAGTTTTTTTTCATGCGCCCTATGAATAGTTTTCGTATTAATTTAATTACTTTTAAATTGAATCAATTTATTTATTTACCTGTAATTCCTGTTCCATAAAAAAGAAAGCAAAACAGAAAAATGTATTTTTACTGTTAAGCATATTTTATTTTAATAATTTATTCAAATATTATATTAATTGAAATTATAAAATTTGAGGTAAAATCTCTTTTTCCTTGGAACCTGTAAGTTTTGCTTTCATATCCACAAAAAATTGTAACAATAAAAAAAATTCTTACCAGGAACACCAAGACGATATGTCTTTTGTACGTATTTAAGTCCATGTACAATTTCTCGTTGTACGATGAAATCAATTTGAATTTTATAACTGACTCCTTCTTTTATAACAAAGGTTTGTTTCTTAAGTTTAGACAAATCTCCAGTAAGATCCAATTCCATTTGCGGTCCATCAACAACTCGAAGTATAAGTTTCTTCACTATCACTTTTCTTGGATCGTCAGGTTCTAGACATAAAATAAAAAAATGTAATTAAATATTCACAATTATCATTGTACTTAGTTACAATTATTGCATTCGACAGAAAGATATGTAAATAAATAAGTATGCAGCATTTAACCAAATTTCAAATTTTTTTACTAAAACGAAGTAAGTAGAAAATAACATTTTTTTCTCTTTCATTTTTAATGCACTGATAAAAAATTCGAAGTTACATTTTCAAAATTATTAATAGCGAACAGATCACAGTGGTTGTAAATAAAAAAAAAATTTGTCAAAAATCTTTTTTCCTTAAAAACATATATAATGTGAAAAATGAACAGTAAAGATTTAACTAATAAATAATTTGAACAAAAATTAATATTTAAAGTAAAAAACGATAATAAAAGATAAAAATAAAAATCTTCTAACCTAACCTAATAACCTTTCTATTATAAATTATTAAATTTCCATAGAAACTACTTCGCTTGAATTCTTTTCAACATTGGATACTTCTAAAGGCCTCAAAATTCATCTTCTGTGAACGTAAACTTTTGAAAACGTAAATAAATACCTATATACTTTTGCGAAAACTTTAAAAAATTTTCTGGTTATTACTCGCATAAAAAAATTGCTAGTCAGAACAAGTTTGATACAAAATATTTAGTTATAAAAACGAAAAAATAATATTTAAAAATTATTTGTTCGTGAAAAATTATATTTTTTTTCATAATTTCAATCAATGACTTTTGGCAAATTATTCTTTTTTCTGACTACTATACTTTGAGGATCTATAAAAAATTATTGAATTTTTAGGGTTCCGTATATTATTTTGCATAATTTTCAATAAACAGATTATTTACATTACAGAATTTTTATTTAACATATTAGCTATTTCAATAAATTTCTTGTTCGGTCATTTGTAATTTCGGACAAATGAAAATCCTATCAATTAGAAATTCTGTTAAATGATGTATCGGTTATGTACAAATCCTGTAGTATGAAAAATCTATTATATGGAAATTCTATTAAATAATAATTCGAACAAGTTAAAATTCATCCAATATAAAATTCTACGTAATGTAGAAATACCACTTTCATAAAAAAAAATTTTTTTCATGGCAGAAGTTATAACTAATTTAGTTCTAATTTAGTACCACATTTAAAAATTTAGAGCTGTTAATTTTCGGTACGTAGTTTTTGAGGCGAAAGGTAGTTTTTGGAAAATTCTTTTCACGGTGAAGGTAGAGCACTAAATTTCTGTGAAAGAAATTTTTCAAAAATTTTCACTTTTTAGGGTTTGGTATTTAAAACTTGACGTCAAACTGACAGTAGCATACATTTTTTTTAAAGTTTAACAGCTCTAATTTTTTAAATACGGTACTAAATTATTACTAAATTAGTTCTAAATTCTGACATGGAAAAATTTTTTTTTGTGAATGTTGTACTTGTAGCTTTACCAACCTAACATTTTATTTATAACATTAAATAAATGGTAGTGTTAATAATAAATAATAAAAATGTTATTGTAAACATTTTTGTGCTCGCCAAGTAGTATTTATTAAAACTTTCAATTTCTGAGAATTGGTTTTTGTAAACTTCAGCATAGTAATTTAATGTAAATTTTGATTAATTAAAAAAAAACTTTCAACTTTAAAATAAACTAAAAATCTACCATAATAATTCATCACGAGTTTCTATTTTACCCTTTCGTGCCCCCGGGCAACCTAGCTTATAGATATTGTTGAAACTCGTCACTCGGGGGTTTTTGGGGGCGCTGATTTCGAATTTGAAGTCAGATTTTGAAAATTCAAAATGGCGGATCCAATATGGCGGACAAATTTTCAAAATGTTATCTGTTCCCCTTAAAACTCATCACTCGGGGGTTTTTGAGGTCGCTGATTACGAATCTGCAGTCAGATTTTCAAAATTCAAAATGACGGATCGAGTTTGTTCAAAAAATGTTTAGAAATTCTTAAATTTTTCTCACTTTCAAATCAATTGTTTGCAGCGGTGACGGTCTTCCACACCACCTAAGAGGTTCCGAATAAGGCGCGTTAGGTTTTTTTTACAGTGAACCTTCGCCAAGAACCCTATTTTAACAAGGTGGATGAATTTCATTATCATGTGAGTCGCGCGAATTTTCAAAATCGATGTAAGCTTTACATATAACAAAATACAAAAATTTGTAATATGAAAGAAGATAATTAAATATAACTTTAAGATGGTGATTAAAATAAAATTAATAATTCCAATATAATTAGTTTAATAAAATAATAATTTTAATAACCCCCGAGTGAATAGTTTTCAGGGAAATCGGTGAAATTTTGAAATTTATTCCTCCATATTGGATCCGCCATTTTGAATTTTGAAAATCTGACTCCAGTTTCGTAATCATCGACCTCGAAAATATTAAAAGTCAATGTGTTGTTAAAAACGGATGAAGCCTAAATGAATGACTTAACATTATTGATATATAACTTTTGTTAATTTTTTATCAATGTTGTACCTATTGTTTAAAATAATTATAACTGCATTATACTGTTTTCTATTTTTTAACATATAGTAATAACGATTGTCAATAAAACTATCCATTGGAATTACTGATTGGGTTAAATTTGTAAGAGTTACATCAAATTTTGTAAGTGGTACATATATGTACCGGAGGCACGAAAGGGTTAAGCAAATCAAACTTACCAACAATGACGTTTCCAGATTTCGCATCCCCCAAGAGAGCTTCTTTGTATTTTCTTAAACTTTCATCTTCCTTATCAGCTTCTAAAATTTGTTCAATAGTTTTTTCAGGGGGAGGTTTGTAATTGGACTCAGCTTCGAGCTCATCATCAACGGAGTCCATGTGACCAACTGTTGGATTTGCCATTTTAATTCCTTAAATATTAAATTAAATATTTTTATTGTTGCAAATAAAGTAATATCACAAACTAAAGTAAAACAGATGTTTCATATTTTAGGAATATGTAAAAATTTTCAATTTTCTCCATGATGTAATATTCTGGCACACCAGGGGCTATTATGGTACACGCTAGTTTTTAATTTGTAAAATATTAATTTTGCAATGTTAAAATTTGACACCTAGCTGTTATTATAGTGTGACATTTTGTCTACTTTTTTTCCTGAAAAAGGGGACAAAAAATATAGCAATTAATAAGTTAAAGTGTGTTAAAAGTCATTATCAATGTTTTAATACTGAAATTTACTAGTTTTTTTTACTTTTTGGTTTTCTTTTTTCGTTTTCCTTAACTCGTAGTTTATCCAATCCATTAAATAATTCTTTCACGACTACTTCTTGATTTTTTTGTAGTCAGCTTACATTTAAGCTCACTATAACCTTACTGTAAGCTTCCCGTAAACTTACATTATTATTAATAAATGTTAATGAATAAATTAAACAATTATTTATGTACTGTAGTTTATTATAGCTTTTACGGTTGCGCAGTAGATTTTAATCAATTATTCCCGTTAGAATTTTATATCCTACATCACAATATATATCATCTGGTGTGAAAAAAATAGTTAAATATTAATAAATAATATTTATTAATATTAATTAACAGTAGTGTAAGCTTAAAAGAAGTTTACATGGGGCTTACAGTAATCTTATATGGTAGCTTACATTAAGACTACACGAAGCTTACAGTAAGGTTATAGTAAGCTTAACTATAAGCTGACTACCATCTTACACTGCAGCTTACGGTAGAGAGGATATTTGCAGCTCACCTTAACCTCACCTGAAGTTTACGTTGTAAGCTAACGAATCTTAGGTTTAAACTCAAGGGAAGCTTACAGCAAGATATTGTGCTGTGTGGGTTTTAAAAAAAAATTATTTATTTTTAATCACAAAAAGGGGCAAAACCGCCAAAAAAGGGTAAAGAGGGGACAAAAGGGGACTAACTGTGATGCCTGTGTTATTAGTAAATTCGCTTTTAGAAATCAGAAAAAAACTTTATAAAGATGAAAAAATTTCGTTGTAAACACAGTGCAATAGCATTTGTATTTCTGGGATCGCATATGATGATTTTTACAGGTTTTTTGACACTGAACACGAATCGGAACTCAGAATTGCTTTATCACCCTAGGTTTTCGAGAAATTTGACCTTGAAAATTGAAAAATGCCCTTTTTAGGATACTTTTTGATTTTTTATAACGGTACAAGAATTGTTTGAAGTTTTCGTGATATGCATTTAAAAGCTCATATCTTCCTGAACAATTTGCAAATTAGAACTTTTAAAAATATTTATTTTTATATGAGATATCCTTGATTGAAGTTTGTGTTTGAAAAAATTTATATTGAAACTTGTCTCTGGGGGGTTTCCAGGATCAGTAACACAGGTCTACCTATAAGGTTTTTTCTTAGATATCAGAGTGGTTTCCAATGTATTTTTGTGTGCTGAACGCGATCCCAGGTTCCAAAATTGTGTATCACGTCAAGATTTTGAAAAAAGTGGGGGTAAATATCCCAAAAAACATGTTTTTGAGAGTTTTCAGTATTTTTTTCTTCTTAACCTGACGTACTAGAGACTTCTATATAGGCTTAAATTAAAGCTTAAATATTACACTTTAAGACCCATATACGCAAGATAAAAAAAAATTTCAAATTAAAAAAAAAGTAAGGTTAAAAGTAAAAAAAAACGGTTTTTAGGGTTTTTAGCCACATTTTTTTCTAAATTTGAAATTTTTTTTATCTTGCGTATATGGGTCTTAAAGTATAATATTTAAGCTTTAATTTAAGCCTATATAGAATATATATTACTTAAATTTTTTTATAAAATTACATTGTTGTATAAGTTCAATGTAATTGTTTATAACATTTTTACAGCAATGTAACTTTATACAATTCTAGTGATACATGTTTGCGTAGTAATTATTAACTTAGAATCAAAGGACAATTTTAGATTTAGAAAAAAAACAATCTGTTTATTTGTTTATAACAAATTGTCTAAAAAAAATTTTTGAATAAAATTTTTAACGTCAAAAATAATTATTAGAGCTCATGCTTGGATACAATAGTTGTTTTCCCGATATCTGCTTGTCTCTAGCCGTGGATAGTAACGATGGTAAGTTAATTTTAATTGTTAATAACATTTTTACAACAATGTAACTTTATAAAAAAAATTCAAGTTATACATGTTTACGAAGTAATTTTTTCATTTTAAAAACATATTTCATGTGTACCAATTTTTATAAAAATCTATTCATTCTATTCCGATATATGAATTTTTTAATTAAAGGCTATTAAAAACTTCAATTGCTTGTTGAAAATGAAGGTTTTAAGCCAAATTACCAGAATTATAAGTTTATTTACGATAATCAACCTTTCGGCCAGTGTCACTTAAAACGTCAAAAGTTCCACCCCTACTACTATCTACAAAATTTTTTTAAATGAGCTGATATTTTAGGAATTTGTTACTCTCATATAGGACAACAATTTACAAAAGTTACAAGCCAGTTTAATAACATTCTGTCCTCTTCCAACTCATGCGTCATTATATGCGCTAGATAAGGACAGAGCGATTAGCAGGAAAAGGTCTGTTGCAAGAATCTAATACCGAAAAAGCATAGAACTTCTGTAATCGTAGTAGGAAATGTTACGTGCAATCTCCGCGCGGCGCCACTGTATTTATAGTATAATAAGTATACAATAATGGGCTATATGACAAACTTTATATTAGCATAGACAAGTTTCATGGTAAAAAGTTATAAGGTTATACTACAATTACTCAAATTTTACATCTATGTAGCATATAAAAGTTCTGCGCGTTAAATGTACACCTTCCTATACCATAAAAGGCAGATTTTTAAAAAAATCTTGCTTTTATAGCATGATAAGGCATACGTTTAACGCATGAATCTCATGAAGTAGTATAAGGAGCACTCACTCTATAGGCCGTTTTTGAAAATTCTTCACCAGCCTTTCCAGATTTAATAGAAGCATTTACATATCCCTGATACTAACAACCCTAGCGGAAAAGCTACGAATTACAGGTCACGTGGTACATTGTTATACAAGTGTTTGTGTGTAACTGTCAGTTAGCGTTTTTTTTAAATGTGTTTGATGCTAGTTCATTTTGTACAATTAGAAATAAAAACAGTGAAAAATGAGTCACTGCTTTGTAAAAGGGTGTACCTCAAAGTGGTATGTGAAAAAAAAATAATTTTGAAAATTATAAGAAACATTATTTCTTTTCACCTTCCGTAAGTATATATAATATGTTCATATTTTTCAATTATATAATTAATTTTTAGATTATTTCAAACTTATATTGGTAATAATGTAAAAGCTATTAAAAATACAAAAATATTTTTAAAAAAATAATAAATGAGAAACTTATTAAAGAAAATATAGACCATAATAATCTCAATATTTAAATTTCAGTTAACGTATTTTATTTATGCCTTTTTAAAGTTTTTTTTATCGCTGCTCAATAATATTATTTAATAATACAATAAGGACATTACAAAAATTTCTGTATCTTCAATTCTAGTAAATAAAATCTTCGTTAAATATTAAACTTTTGTATGTAACTTTTTATTTCTTTACACTTTTTCTAAAATTATTATATATCATTTTACACTGTTTACTATATGAGAACAGCTGTCACTAGGCGCAGCCATATTTTGAAAACTTCTAAGTACACCGTTTCTCCGCTAGAGGCGTCATAATCGGAGATATGTAATTTCGGATTTAATTCTCATGCAGAGGGCCTATATGCTTAACAAGCAGTGAGTGCTCCTTATACTACTTCATGATGAATCTTTTCCATGCTATTATAGTAGATAAATTCTAGTAATATTAGTAAGAATTTATACGTTATTAGTATGATTGGTGTTCATGCTTAAAAGGTTTGAGAAACATGCTTTCGTTGTATCTACATATTTAATACTTTAAATGCATACTACGAAGGCGTGTTTCTCAAACATACTAAGAACGTATGAATTCTTGCTTTCTTTGTAATATTTTGCAATATTTTGCTTCAAATCAAACTTGAGCGTAACCTGAACAAATTCGCTCAGAGATTCATAAACCACCAGGGAATGATTTTTCAGAAACTTTTTTAAAAAATTATTTCCAAAAAAATGTCATCAAAAGTTTCCACACAACTTAAATCGAAGAAAAAAAGCACAGAACAAAAAAAATTGCGATTTTTGTACCATTATAGCTCTAATTGAAGGTATACAGAAAAGAAATCAATTTTAGTCTTTTAAATAACAAATTGCATTCGTATATATATATATATATGTATTTCTTAATTTTAAAGAATGTTTAAAAATATATAAGCCAAAAAATTTACTTTTTTTTTATTTCTAACTAAAAATGTTCTCAAAATTTAAAAGCTCTAACTACACAGGCACACAAAAAAAAAGTGTTTTGGCTGAATCAGAATTTGAAGTCAGAATTGTCAGATTAGCTCAAAATTTTAAGCAAAACTCAAAAAATGTTAAAAATGAAAATGAGAATTTTTTGGTCGAAACTTTATTCTATTACAATGATATCATTTCCCTATTTAGTTCGAATCTAGATTTTAAATTTACCTCCTTTAAAAAACCTGGTATCAAAATGAGTATGAAATTCATATATTCAATTTTATACGCATAAAAAATGAGCCAAACAGATTCTATGTCATGTAACATGGACTTATTTTGAGATGCAACAAAAATGAGACCCTTTTTTTCTATCTTATTCTTGTCGGAAATTTACTTCCGATACCACCGACAAACAATTTAATTAAGTCAATACACTGGCGTAGTGTCACTGCACAAAATTTTTCCGATTTTGACTTTAATTCGTTCTTTGAGCAGTTTTTTAAATTCTCAAAAAAATTTCAGCCAATGTGGCAATTCTTACTGCAAATTCAGTTGGGAAAAATGTATGCAAAAACACTAAATTAGTGCAACAGAAAAAAATGTTCCTTTTTTTATTTTTATTCGTTTTTTTGAGCAGTTTTTTGAGTTTAGCTCACAATTTTGAGCCAATCGGACAATTCTGACTTCGAATTCGAATTCAGTGGGAAAAATAAATGGGAATATACTATTGTAGTGACATAAACAATATTTTTTTATTTTTGATTTGAATTGGTTTTTTTGAGTTGTTTTTTGAGTATAACTCAAAAACAAGAGCCAATCTGACTATTCTGACTTCGGATTCGGATTCAGCAGCGAGAAATACATGAGAATACACTAGTGTAGTGTCTCGGCCAAAACACCTTTTTTGTGTGCCTGTGTTATTTGATTAATGAGGGAGATGGCACTGTTCAATTATATTTTTATAACAAATGGAAAACTAGAATTATTAATTATTTCAAAATACAAAAAATATTTTTAAAATTTTGAAAATGTACCTACAATAAACTTATTAACAAATTAAAACTGAATTTAGGGTGGCCACTATTTTTAGAATTTTTGCCTCCCGGTTTTCTCCCGGTTTTAAAATACATTTTTTCTGTACACAAATCTATTACATTTATGTAATATGCAATTGTAAAAATAATGAACACCAAAAGCACTCTATGAAAATTTATAAAATTTAAGTTTTATGAAGTACATTGAAATAAAATATAACAAATTTTATTAAGTATAGTAGACATTTTAGTAAACATTTTTCAATTTAGGGAAAACGTGTAAAAATAGGAAATATTGATACAAAAAATAATATACTTCTAAAAATATTTTTCAGTCTTTTAGAAATGTATTTCAAATTTTAGTAAATATTTACGAACTACAATATAATTTATAGTAATCATAAAAAATCTTTACTGAGATTTAATATATTTTATATCATTTTTTTCCAGTTTGACACATTTTCCCTAAATTGAAAAGTATTTATGAAATTTTGTTATATATTTTCTTTCAGTGTAGAATTAAAAAATTTTCTATTGTGAGAAATACAAATAGCTAATTTTTGTTAATGGTTTATGAGCAATTCCACGTGAGATTGAGGGGTCTATCCTCAGATTCCTTTTATACTACGTTTTTGGGTAGAGATTATGGGTCTAATTGAGTAAATAAAATTTTGAAAAAAATATTTATTATTTTTCGAGATATTTGCATTAAAAAATTAGTGCAACTTTTTTTTCAATTACTCATAACTTTTTCACTTTTAGTCCTAGAAAAAAGTTTCCTAAACGTTTTTTGCTCAGAAAATATTGAAGTTTAAAAAAAAATTAATTTTGAAAAATTAAAAATTTTTAATTTATTTATTTATTTAAAAAATAAAATTTGTTTTTAATTTTTAAACTTATTATCGGGCTCCGTTTACTTAGCGGGGATTTCCTACCTTCTCGGCACGGTATTTTTCAGTCTTTCTCTAAATAACAGTTTATAATTAATTTTCGATTTTTAGTAATACTTAATATTCTTTTTTTGACACAGAATTAGATTAGACGTAGTATAGAAGGAATCTGAGGATAGACCCTTCAATCTCACGTGGAATTGCTCATATATTTTACATAATTAAGACGAAATTTTAGATGGTTAAAAGTTGAACAATTTTCGAATAATTGCGCGAATCACAAAACCCATAAAATCTCCCGGATTAATTTTTCAGTCCCGGCTTTCTCCCGGTTGGCTGGCCACCCTGTGAATTATTTTTAAATGCAAAATAATGAAAAATCAGAAAAAAATAAATCATAATTAACGTTATAACAGCTGTAAACTGAAAAATTAAAGACGTAATTTTTTTTGGGTGTTTTAAAAGTTCAGATATTATTAGATTTTGCAAATTGAAAGTAAGTAAATTTTATTAAAAAAAAAAAAAACAAATCCTTCTAAAATTTGAAAAAATGTCAAAATCCAGGGGGTAACAATTGTTTATAGAACGAGATACTAAACATGATTCTCTAAATATATAAGATACACATTTACAAAAAAGGGTTTATACTATTAAAATGATTCACCGCAAGTCCAATTGGGCGAGAGAAACTGATCAGTTTATAATACTAACACTTGCCAAAAGGTGTGTAAACTATATTCACTTGGATTGATGCTTATTTCGCGCGTTTTATAATAAAAAAATACGGAAAAAACAAGAGTTTAGGATTAGGTAATAGAAACAGAGACAATATTAACTTAGAAAAATTTATACAATAAAATGGAAAAGAGCCTTGAAATTATTGATAAATGTAATCTTATTTACCTGTTCACTGATCGGCCCTGTCGGCTGCTGTCGGCTCAACACGGAAAACATGGCGTTGAGTCCGAAGCACAGTCGTTACAGGTCCTGAAACTTCCATAATAGGATGAACGTCAAATAGCGTGATCAAAAGTTTCTCGTATAAGCCGCATTAAAGGCGAGGGCGTAATTGTCGAGTAGTGTACGGTTCAAAGTAAACACATCTCTCAAACCTCTAAATCGTTGTAATTAATTAGTAAACAGATAAAGGCCTTTCTCCAATATGGTCCTAAATGTTTGCGTTGCGTGACTGACGCATTTGTTCGCAAGCGCAGTGACGTCATCGAAGCATTGATACCAATCGCGAGCAGAAAGTTTGGTTTATGATTTTAGGACACTGAATTTTTTAATTAAAAAATATTTTGTTCATTAATTTTTTTTTAATTCAATTAAAAGTATTGAAAGCAGTCGAGAAACATGTACATTAAAAATTGTACATAAACCAAAAATAAACATAAACCAAACTTTTTGTTCGCGATTGGTATCAATGCTTTGATGGCGTCACTGCGCTTGCGAACCAACGCGTCATTCACGCAACGCAAACATTTAGGAACCTATTGGAGAAAGGCCTTAATATCCCTTATTTTCGTTTCAATAATACGGTTTTCAGTAGTTGGTTTATCAGGCGCGGATTTAGTGAGGGGGCACGGGTGCATACCCCCCCCCCCTAAAATTCCAGACTTGAATTTTTCAGATCACATTGAATTAAGAAAACTAATATAATAAAGCATATTAATAAAACTTTATTATTTAAAGAAATTGTTATTTTCCTTTTATCGTATTTTTTTAATTTTTGGATAACACCACTTATGGAGCATTTGAGACGCCTACTTTTTCCTCAATTTTTAAATAACCGAATTTTTAATTAACATAATTTAAAATTACAAAAGTGTTAATAAACCGAATTTAAATATTTCAGAATTTTTAAAAAACCGAATTTTTATAGTTCCAAATTTTCAGTTTACACAATAAAAAAATAATCGAAATACCATTGGTTATAATTTTTATGTTCTCGATTATTAAAATTACAGAAAATGAAAAGAGCAGAAGTTTCACTTGACAGACTTTCTGTTCAACCTAATTGCGATCGGACAAAATTTTAAGAGAACAGAAATATCAGTTAACATAATTTCAATTTTGCAGAATTTTTAGTTAACATAATTTAAAATAAACAGAAATGTCATTTGACATAATTTTTATGTTCTCGAATTTTAACTTTTCCGAAAATAAAAATAACAGAAATTTAACTTGACAGACTTTCTATTCAACCTAATTGCGATTGGACAGAATTTTTAGATAACGGAAATATCAGTTAACATAATTTCAATTTTGCAGAATTTTTAGTTTACATAATTAAAAATAAACATAAATGTCATTTGTCATAATTTTTATGTTCTCGAATCTCAAATTAACCGAAAATAAAAACAGCAGAACTTTCATTTGATAGAATAAATCCATTGTTGATGATTGTTTAAACAATGAATACACAATGGATTTGGTATGTCAAGTGAAACTTCTGCTGTTTTCATTTTCGGTTAATCTGAGATTTGTGACCATAAAAATTCTGACAAATGGTGTTTCGGTTGTTTTTCAATTCTGTAAATTAAAAATTCGGCAAAATTAAAATTATGACAAATGATATTTCTGTTTTCTTAAATTTCTGTCCAATCACAATTCGGTTGAACAGAAAGTCTGTCAAGTTAAATTTCTGTTATTTTTATTTTCGGAAAAGTTAAAATTCGAGAACATAAAAATTATGTCAAATGACATTTCTGTTTATTTTAAATTATGTTAACTAAAAATTCTGCAAAATTGAAATTATGTTAACTGATATTTCTGTTCTCTTAAAATTTTGTCCAATCGCAATTAGGTTGAACAGAAAGTCTGTCAAGTGAAACTTCTGCTCTTTTCATTTTCTGTAATTTTAATATTCGAGAACATAAAAATTATAACCAATGGTATTTCGATTATTTTTTTATTGTGTAAACTGAAAATTTGGAACTATAAAAATTCGGTTTTTTAAAAATTCTGAAATATTTAAATTCGGTTTATTAACACTTTTGTAATTTTAAATTATGTTAATTAAAAATTCGGTTATTTAAAAATTGAGGAAAAAGTAGGCGTCTCGAGCATTTACACCTTCGGCAAAAAATTTTCTTCACTTTGCATTTTCCGAAATATACTTACCTGATTGGTTGTCCACAATGAATCAGATTCTGGACAACCAATTAGATAAGTATATTTCGAAAATTGCAAAGTAAAGAAAATTTTTTGCCGAAGGTGTAAATGCTCCATTATGGAGCGGTCATCTTCTATCTCTCTTACTCTTACACGGTTGCCATGGGCAACTGCTCCTGCAGGCGAGGTGTGACCGCTCCATTACACTTCAACGAAATCTAGTGAATGTTTAGTAACTTGCTAGTTACAACCGAATTTTTTGGAAAATTACTAGAAAGTTACTAACCATTCATTAGATTTCGTTGAAGTGTGACCGGCCAAATTGGACCAAATGTTTCTGCATGCATGCATAGTATATGCATGAGATAGTGTGACCATACCCTTATGATTTTCATAAGTAATTATAATTAATTTTCGAAAGAAGTAGCTGAATTTAAATTTATTTAATAAACATTTCAACTTACCAATTTATTTTGAGCACTCATTATTTATTACAAGTTAAAAAAACCGACAAAACATAAACAAAACTCTGAGAGACACTCGCAAGGAAGAAGCACTGTACAAACTATTTCACAAACATCGTCATTTTACACTTTCTTGTAGCAGAAAACGTTTTAAAGCAAAATTTGCTAAATTTTTCAATCAAATCAATTTTCTATCACTATTTTAAAGTGTTCTTACATATTTAAACAATTATTTAATATTATATTTCTTAAAAAAACATTTTTTGTTTAAAACAATTCAAAAATACCCGCCATGAAAATGACTTTTCACGGTCCAGAAATAATGTTCATCTGATCGAAATTTGAGGTATAAAAGCACCTTTATGCTGATTCTACACTTGCCGTAAACAGTAGAACTTTTGTTACTAAATTTTCACTAGAGCTGGGTGCGGTACTTGACGAAAATTATTGGGATCAGAAATCACGCGAAACTGACCCACCCCTGAGCCTTCTTGTGACAACCATCTTGGTTTTTTATCTCTTTCTTTTGTATATGTTAGAGAAACACGGAATGAAAACATGGCCACCACAGCAAGGCTCTCACCAGATGGCGTATCGCAGTATTTCAGATCCCAATGAGAAATAGCGAGTGGGCAATGGAAACCAACCTTACATGTTTTTCTACATGTAGTTTAACATGTAAATTACATCAAATTTTACATAAGATGATGAGATATATATAATGAAGGCGTTTGCATAACTCACCGATCCCGAGTATAACCAGCGTAGTGTTTTAAAATTCTCGGTAAAATTGAAACCTGAGAAGGTAAGAAAGAAAATTGCGGTAAATTACCGAAAAAAAGAGAATTTATGAGAATATTCATTTAAGTGATTGATAATTGCCTTTTTTAAATTTAAATATGTATTTTTATAGTATGTAAGTTATAAATAAACGACCGACATGTTATTAAATGAATAATTTGAACAATGAATATAATAGACTGTAAGGGTGCAGTCCCATGGAGCAGATTAGCAGAATAGATTTCAGCCAATCAAAAGTCTCTCGCGGCAAATTTTGCATTTCAGTTAGAGACTGTTTTTTTATTGGTCAACGTCTAATCTGCTAATCTGATCCATGGGACTGCACCCTAATTTTCTCTGTGTTCTTACTGACAAGATGACAGTCGGGTATATATGCCTGCACTTTTATCATTGTCTAACACGTGCGTCGTCATGGCAACATGTGTGTTAGACAAGGATAAAAGTGCAGGCATATAAATGTACCTGATTCAATATAATAATGTAATATTATATCAATATTAATATATTAATATATATATATTATATATTGTAACAAAGATATTTTTCATTATAATAATAATTGTACAGTCAGGAACATATGTCTGTACTTTTATCCTCGTCATACACGTTGTCATGACAACGCACGTGTCAGACAAGGATAAAAGTACAAGTAAAAATTCTCATAAATTCTCAGAGAAAAAACGATCCGGTAATTTACCGGTAAATTACCGTAATCTTCTTTCTCTTCTTGACGTAATTTACTGTCTTTAGAACACTAAACCAGCGTTGTGTACCATTGGAGTAAAAGAGACAAAAGATATTTCTGTCTCTTTTACTCCAATGGTACACAACGCAATTACACTCGGGATCGGTGAGTTATACAAACGCTGTAAGTACTGTATTATTGTGTATCGAAGCAAAAAAAAAACTTTTTTGAAATGGTATATTTTATACGGCTTTCACGAGTTGGTATGTTTTAAAATGATTTTCTAAAATCGTATGTTTTTCCACTAACCCAACGAAATATCGAAGTTTAGTAAGAACTGAAATACTAAAAGGTAACAATTTAAACGACATCACAAAAACAAAATTCTCTTTTATGCCTGTTAATAACAACACCGGAACGGAAAGTTATTTTTCTTCTCGGCAGTGACGTCACTGGGAGGAAAAGACTCAATTTTCTCCCGCTACACAGTTCGGCTACCTGCGGGCAGACTGGGCGACATGAGTGTAAGCGAGAAGAAAAACTTGCTTTTTCTCGCTTACACTCATCATGCCCGTCTGCCCGCAGGCAGGCAGCGGAGTTGTGACCGTACCATAAAAGTTACTAAATTTTTACTAGAGCAGGGTGCGGTAGTTGACGAGAATTATGAGAAATAGCAAGTGGGGATTTTGGCGAGTGGGGACAATGGAAATCAACTAATGATGTACTTTCGGTGCGTACGGTAAAAAAATATTTTTTTTGCATTTTCCTAAATACATTAGTCAAATTGTGGACAACGAATCAAATTTGTTCATTTCCAAAAATTTAAACGAAACAAATTTTTTGACTGAATGCGTAAATGCGCCATAACACGTAATAATGAAAAAGAAAAGGACAGAAATGTCTTTTATCATTTTCTACCTCACATTAAAGATCACGTTTACGATGTCAATGTGCTCGAAGCTTTACGTCGGCCTAAACATAATTAAGTTGGGTATGGAAAACGGATACCAGATATGTAAGTTCTCATTCTCGAAGAGATCGACGACTAAAATACGGAAGCCTGTACGGCTCACGAGCGTCTCAGACGCAAGTGGCGGTGTTTCGTGCCACTTGTGGTACGAAACACCGCCACTTGCGTCTGAGACGCTCGTGAGCCGTACAGGCTTCCGTACTAAAAACCCGGTCACAGCTCGCCTGCCTGCGGGCATAACGCCCCCTTTGCCCCGTCTGTCCACAGAAAGACAGCCGAACTGTGACCGTGCCTTAACGCATAATAAAGACGGTTGCTGAAATTTACATATGTAATCCCGTGTCCGTTTCCCATACCCGATTGATTGTGCTTAAGCCTTAACATGAGATAGAAAAACATAGGAGATATTTCTGTCCTTTTCTTTCTCATCAATCTCACTCGCAATCGGCCTTTCCCAAGCTGTTGTGCGTTGACCCTAAAACCATATTCTCTTGGGTGGAACGCATTCCATTGAATTCGGTTGTATTGTCATTTATATATTGTATAGAGTTCAGTGTGCCCACCCTACTAATATGTATATGTATAGTTGTGTAAGTGGTTTGTTGTAGCTTGGAGTTGAATATGTTTAATGAAATATGCAATACTGTTATTGTTATACAAAGTTGTTTAATTTTGGTGAATTTTGAAGAGAATTTTTTTACATTAATTCAGAATTGATGCTATATAGTATTCTTTGAATATGAGGAATTTACCTTTATAACTTAAATATGACTCACACTGGGTGAAGCTGAGAAAATGACTAATCTAACTGCACAAAGATTAAACAGTTTTATTATGTACAACAATGTTTTAGAAAGGTGAAAAAACTGATAAGTGTTAAGCGAAATATAAGTTTGGATTTTTTTTGTTAAGCTGATGAGTGAATCGGAAATAAAGTGAATTTCAAGTGGCTTTAATAACTGAAAAGGCGAGATGGAAAAATTGAAAATCTTTCGATGTATTCGGGTGAATATTCCCGGTGTTGCGGTACTATTTCAACTTTTGCTGTGCGTAACAATAGGTGAGTTTTTCTTTTGTTAATTATTATCAAATATAGAATATAAGAACATGACTCCATAAGGGAGTCAGTAAGTGTTTACATTTTCATTTCGTAAGTGGGAGATAAAGGAAAAGGGGTGAACATTTTTTGTAGAATATAATCATCGTAGTGAAAGTGGTACTGATTTTTCTTATGTTTTATTATATTATATTTTATTATAATTAAAATTGCATAATTTATTTAAAATTAATTTCTTTTAAATAGTTGTCTATCTTTTCGCGATGTATAAGTTTTGAATAAGATTGCAAGCAAATTCTTTTTTGCGGAACTGCCTCATTCGTGCCATGTAATTTATAGTATATACGAGCACCATAATAATCTACTAGACATACAGTATAATAAGTGGTAGTTATTCATGGGTAATTCTACGATAAGGGGTATCAATTCTTAAGATTCGTGACATCAACAAAATTATCACAATGACCTTATTTCTTCCTGTGGGTACAGTCACTGTATTTCTCAACAAAAAGGCGAATCATTTTATTATCTTTTTATTATATGTCTATATTATTTTCAGGCGTCGGATTTTTTCGATTTTTTCTCAATTTCTTTTTCAAAAATGCGACTTTTTTCGATTTATTTTAATAAGGTACGAATTTTCCGATGTTTTTTTTTCATTTTTTAATTAAAAAAAAAGACTCTTTTTAGTATACTCACTAAAAGTACAAATATGGTACCGTTTTTGCAAATATTATTTTTTTATTTTATTTATTCGATATTTGTATTTGTATAAAAAATTCAAAAATTATAAACCAATAAAATATGTAAAAGAGAAGACATAATTTAAAATATTTTTTGAGTTAAATTTATTTTAAAAATTTTTATAAATTCAAATCTTCAAAATCTATTCACTCGAAAATTTTACTGAAATTCTGAATAAATTTTTGCTTTTGAATTAGTAAAATTTAACTAATTAATAGTAAAAGAAAAATTGAGTGTCGAATTAGTAAAATTTAAAAAATACAAACGCAAAATGTGAGTCACTAATTCAAATTAGTTAAAAAAATTTATTAATTTAAATTTACAAAGCATTGTTTTAAAAAGTTGGTCAATTCATAGAAAATTTTTTGATAAAATAATTTTAAAAGAATAAATAATAATTTAATAATAATAATATTTAATTTATTTGTGTATTTATTTATTATTTATAATAATATTTCAACTAATTATTTTCATAAAGTTCTTCAAAAAATCAATTATTTAAAACATTTTTTAAATAAAAAATCTTGTAAAATTCAATTATTCATTGAAATTAAAAAAAATCTTCATCAATTAAAATTTTTAAACATTTCAATTTTAAATCTTTTAAAATTCAATTACTTCTCAAAATTTTAATTTATAACCGTCAAAACTTTTCAATACAAAACTTTCTGAAATTTAATTATTTCTGAAAATTTCAATTATAACATTTAAAAATGTTATCTTAAAGTTAAATTATTGTTAACCAATAATTTTCATTAAATTCTTCGAAAATTTAATTATTTAAAACATTTTTAATTAAAAATTCCTGTGAAAATGAATTATGTACCATTTAAAATTTTAAAAAATTTTCTATAATGTAAAATCTTTTGATATTATATAAAGCTTTGTACTCAAAAATTCAATTACTTTAAATTATTTTTTAAAAACTTCAATTATTTAAAGTAGTTTCAAATAAAAACTTCAAAAATTTCAATTGTTGACAGAAATTAAAAAAAATTAAACAGCAATTTAAATTTGCAAAAATTTATTTCAATATTTAGAAATACTAATACAATTTTTTAAGCACATTTTTTCTTCAAAAAATAGTTTTTTATAAAAATTTTTATCTACTTAAAATGCATCTTAATAAATAAAAAAATTAAATTTCTGGAATAGAAACGAATCGATTGACCTATAAAAAATATAGATGTCATTTTAAAAAATATAGAATTAATCGCGATTTTTTGTTTTCGAAACTATTAAAATATTTTTCATTTAGAATCGAATTAAATAATCTATATTAAATATATTTCACTAGAAATTTTTATTTTTTTTACTTCAACTACTCAAATTAAATAATAATAATTATAATAATAACTAGAAACGTAGTATAATTTATGTTCAAAATATAATTGACAGAACTCTTATTAATTGAAGTTAGGGTAATAAAATTAATAATGGAAATTGTTTATTTTAATTAAACTGTATAATAAACAGTATATGAATTCTAGTTTTTGTTTAAGCGAATTATTGTAACATGAAATTAGTATCCCAATAAGAAATTCGCAATATTGTGGTTATATGTTGTGCTATTTGGAATTTGATAAAATAATGTAAGTAATTTATTAAATTTTAATTAGTAAGAATTTTTACGTGTATAATATAAATATTATCCAATCCTTACCGCTACCAGAGGCCAAAACACGATGCGCCAGAAGGAGGTTGAAATAAAAATGAGTTGGCACTTAAAAATTCTTTTTGATTATGGTTCTTAAATAAATAAAAACCATTTTTCAATAGGTTTTAAAATCAACTTACGTGCCAAATTTAAACAAAATTGAGTTTTAAATATATAAAAATAGTGTTTTATGAGGAACCAGAATTTATTTAATGTATACTTATATGCGTATAGATAATAGATGTTTTAGATTTGGGTTCATATAAATTTATTAACATTGAAGTTATTTTCTTGTTTTGTTTTTATATTTATGCATTAAGACTGTCGAACGGTATCTGAAATTCTTTAGCAAGAAGAGAGCTTTAATTATCGCTCTCAAAGTGTAATTCATTTTAAAATAATTTTTTCTCGAAACACGAACACTTTTAACAAAATCACCCAAAATCCTCATCTTATAAATTTCCTAAATCCAAAAGACGGTACGAATCCATAGAAAAACATGGTTGCAAAACAAAAAGTAGAAAAGTAATCTAATAACAGCTACGACTTTGTGCGCCCTGCATGCTGCTGCCATCTGACGGCGGCAGGAGGTAATGAACCTGTCATTATATTACTTTTCGTTTTGCAATCATGTTTTTGTATGGATTCGGATAATCTTTCGTATTTAGGAAATTTATATAAGATAAGAATCTCTAGCTGTTTTTGTAAAAAAGTGTCCGTCTTTCGAGAAGAAAGTATTTTAAAATTAATGTTTATCATTTTCACGTTTAGTGCCGTTTTTATAGGGTGATAATTAAAGGTCTCTTCTTTCCAAAGAATTTCAGAGACCATTCGACTCTCTTAAATAAATTTTGTCTCTCTTAAAATAGTTCTTTTAACATTATAATTTAAATTTTTAAAATCGGATATAAACGCTACAGCAATATAATTATTTATATGTAAAATTAAAAATAAGTAATTATTTTATCATTTATTACAGTATTTATTAGATTAAATAATTTCTGATTCCCCATAAAATTACTGTTTTTTATATAAAAACTCATTTTTTTTAAAATAGGGCACGTAAACTGATTTTAAAAACTATTGAGAAATATTTTTTATTCATCTAAGAATCATAATCAAAAAGAATTTTTACGTGCCAATTCATTTTTATTTAAACCACCTTCTGGCGCACTGTGAAAAGGTAACTTGCAAGCGGGGTTCTGGGTGAGTCCAAAAATAGTTTGTTATCAAATTCAGATAGGACACATGAATTTGATACTGTTAAGTAGAAGGGGGGATAAGTACAGATAAACCATGTTATATTGAAGATACCAATTTAATATACTTCCGTGACGGTTATGATTTATCACAAAAAAGTGTATTCAGTTTAGGTCTTTCAGAATCCAGATTAGGACAGTAATATAAGAAGTGATGCGCCACTTAGTTACAAGAGAGACGCAGGGTTAGAACAGTTAAAGATAAATTGGGGATTAAGAGCTGTGAGTTTTGAACAAAAAATAAGAAATATGAGTGATAATAGTTTAGTAAAGAAATGTTGGCAGCCATTAAAAGAAGAAGGTTGGGATACTTTATATGGAAAAGAGAGAGAAAAGTATTATAACAGGAATGGTTTAGGAATAGAGGAGAAAGAAAGATTAATGAATTGAAACTGTGATATAAGTGATATTAGCGATAGGATTAGATTAACAGAACATGATGTACAGAAACAGATAAAAGAAAGCAGAATTGATGCGTCAAAATATAAACATAGGTATATAGGGTTATCAAAGAAAACAATGAAAGGCCAAAGTATTTAACAGATAATAAGGTTGGAAGTAGATTCAGTTTAATCACAAAATTAAGGTGTGGAAATTTTGAAAATTATAAAAAATATTGGTTGGACGAAGAAAAAAGAAAATGTAAATTTTGTTATAAGGATTGGGATTGTCTAGAACACTATGTTAAAAAAATTGTCAAGTTGCGAAAGGTTGATTTGTTGAATTAGGTGATGACGAGGAAAAGAGATTGCTTAGCTTAAGTGATTGCAGTTATGGAAATATAAAGGTTGAAATAGCTTTAAAAAATTAGAATATGAATGTGTGTAAGGTTGGAACATTGGAAACCAAGTCCACTTCTGGACCAATAGGCTGAAGTTAAATAAATATTATTATAAGAAGTGATGCATATCTTTCAAATCTGCTTCTTTTTTAATTGAGTTATGATATTCAGAAGTTTTTTGGAGTACTCTAAATCCGCAAATCAGGGGGTCATAGCCTATTAGTTTATAGTGCGAGATCCCATTGTACAAGTATGCTAAAATGGACCGCAGGGTCGTGGAGCAGAGATACTATGACAGGTGACTTGAAAGTTCCAGTCCCTAGAGGAAGATATCCTTAGCCCGCCATTACAGACATGGCTTTCCTAACACAAACATTACAGGAATGACACTGGAAAATTATTGGGCTTAGTTGATACCCGAAAAACTCAGTTCAAATTTACACCTATTTTCACGTGCCATTTGCAAGCAATGCACATATCGTCGTCCTTTACCATTACCTTATTGGAATCCTCACAATGGAAACCGTTGGCTTTTGGAATACATCATTATCACCAACTCACACGGTACGCATGAGATGCGGGTAAGCAATATTTAGCTTACAGGAAAACCGCGGCACCTGACTTTGCATCTCCGTCTTTTGCAGTACTTATAGCAAGTTCAGGTGCCCTCAATGACACAGATGCCCTATTCTGTCTGTCGAGAATACCACGGTCTAAACCAGCAGGTCAGAAAAGCATCTCTCCACATGCGTAAAATATCAACGTGACAATATGAATATCCCTTTCCGTAAAAGGCCATAAGTAAACGTGTCAATCTTCGCAGTTCTCTTTTAAGAGGAGGGTATAGTTAATTCGGTGGAAAAATGCATGTTTTTATGAATTTTTTTAGAGGCCCTGGCTAGAGCAAATGTATTTAACAAATTTTACAATAATAGTAAATTTGAAGAATATTTGGTTAAAATTTTAAAGTAATATCTGAAGAAGGACACTGCAAAACAATTTTTTTTGGAAGGCGTCTTCGAAAATCGCGTGCCAATCCGTTCTTTCTTTAGATATTACATCGAAATTTTAACCAAATATTTTTCAAATTATGTACTATTATCGTAAAAGTTAAATGCATTTGCTCCAACTAGAGTCTCTAAAAAAATTCATAAAAAAACATGCTGAAATTTCCACCGAATTAACTATACCCTCTCCTTAAAGTGGTTAGTGAGAGGTCGCTCATAGTAGAACCGAAGAAATTTTATCCAAAATGACAGAATTCGCAGACACTTACAGAAAGCGGAAACCCTAATTCCTTTTAAAGAATTCAGATTTAGCACCTGCTACTGACTAATCGAAAGAGAAGTCCGGCAGATTAGATTAATGCCAAGACGTAATTGAATAATGACTCTGCAGTGTAACCACAACAACTTTGATCGGGGGTTTTTTGGGGTCGCTGATTAAGAATCTGAAGTCAGTTTTTCAAAATTCAAAATGGCAGATCCAATAGGGTAGACTTTTTTTCAAAAATCGTTCGGATTCGCTTAATAATTAGTATTTTGGGGTCACTGATTACGAATTCGATGTTAGTTTTTCAAAATTCAAAATGGATTATCTAATATGGCGGACAATATTTAAAACAAGTTGTAAATTTAGATGTTCATTACATGAACATTTTGCTTCCTCTTTACGATCAGCAAAAAAATTTGCTTCCTCGTGGAGAAAGCAAAATTTTATTGCCAAAATGTCAATTTTTGATTTTTTAACTTTCATTAATTCTTTAAATTTACTTCAAATGTATACTTTATATATATCGATCGATTCGTATTGACGTAAGGAATACAATTATTTCATATATAAACTTTAATTTAAAAAATCACAAAATTTTATAGCCTAAATGTGAAATTTTGATTTTTTTACTTTCATTAATTTTTTAAATTTACCTCAAATGTATACTTTATATATATCGATCGATTCGTCTTGACGTAAGGAAAACGATTTTATTATATATAACCTTAAATTTTTCTATTTAAAAATTTTTTCGATTAAAAAAAAATTTTTGGAAAAAAGACGATAAAATTTTTTTTTTTGAGATATTTTTCAAAATCCTTTGGTCAGATTTGAGATATTAATATGATAAATGAGCCTACCAAATTTTATCTAAATCCATTAAAACCTGTTAAAGTTATCTTCTAAACAAAAAAGGGATCCACACACACACACACACACACACACACACACACACACACACACATACATACATCCGGACAATTGATCAGGATCTCATATAACATGTTTCTATAAAGAAAAAAATTTGTTTCCGCCACTTTGAAAAGTTTTATAAACGAAAGGACTACAAAGCTTCCTCCACGAGGAAGCAAAAATTGCTTGAATTTTCTTAAAAATTGGTACTCGGGTGTTTTTGGAGTCGCTGATTACGAATTCGAAGTCAGAATTCCAAAATTCAAATTAGCGGATCCAATATGGTGGATGAATTATGACAAAAATATTGGTTTATTTGAAAAAATATTGGATTTTCGTGCAAATGGGTATCTTAGGGTTTTTGGGGTGGCTTATCAGCCATTTTTAATTTTTCAAAATTTTAAGAATCTGACTTTAGATTTGTAATTAGCGACCTCAAAAATCCTCAGACACCAAAAAACCCCAAGAAAACGCATTTTTTAAGGAAAAAAAATGATTTTTTAAAAAAAAGTCCGCTTTACTGTATCTAACATTTGAATTTTGAAAAACTAACGTCGAATTCATCATCAGTGACCCCGAAAACCCCCGCGTAGAGAGTTTCAAGCGAATCTGAACGAGTTTTGAAAAATGTCCGCCATATTGGATCTGACATTTTAAGTTTTAAAAAACAAACATCGAATTCATAATCAGCGACCCCGAAAACCTCTGGATATCAATTTTCAGGAAAAAAAATTTTCTGTACATTTTTGGCACTTTTTGTCGAATTCCTTCTGCTAACGATGGGGTTAATACTGCTTTGGTCCTAAGACCTAGTCGGCATAGTCGACTGTAGGTATTTAGAAATTGAATCCTATAAAAATACTTCTGCAGACACCTCGTAAAAGTTCCTGCAGACATTCGCAAGCGTCTGCAAGTATGGCAAACATTGGGGTAGTGAATATATTTATATTCTTAAGGACAAGGATTGTACAATGTCAAAAATTGTCCTAGAGGTATCAGTACATTGAAAGGTACATTCCAATAAACACGCAAAGACTGAATCCTGTTTCTTGATTGCTGAACCTTATTTTTTCTACCTCCAGTTTTCTCCATGTAGCTCTAATTAGGTTTCTGTAAATTAAAAGGCAAAGGTGACATTAGTGTCCCAAATTATTCTCCATACTGCATCAGCAAAATGACAAGAGCACATAAAGTTTATAGAAAAATGGTTTAAAAATGGAGATTTAACCTGTGGCTGATGTTGTCAAATATCTTGGTATGCACCTTTATAGAAGATTAATCTAGAAAAAACATATCTGTAGTAATCAAAAGCAACTTGGATTGAAACTCCGATAATTATTATTGTACAAATGTATATTGAAACCAATTTGAACTAATGGCATTCAACTATGAGGAGCTGCTAGTAATTCTAACATTAATATTATTCAACGATTCCAATCTAAAATATTAAGGATTATTGTGCAAACTGCATGGTATGTTCCCAATTCATCGTGATCTAAAACTATAAACAGTGGAAAGTGAAATAAAAAATTTTAGTGTTAAATATCAAAAGAAAGATTAAAAAAAAATATTCTTGCTACAAATTTATAAGGAACTAGAGACTAAAATAGAAGTTTGAAGAGATTTAAACCTACAGATTTGTCAAATAGATTTTAGTAGACTGTTTAGTTATTAAATTAAAATTATTTTATATTTGCTTGACATAAGTTACTGGTTAACAAAATCTTTGCTGACTGTTTTTTACAATTTATGTTAATGTGTGTTCTGATTTACTTATTATTCATTAGAATAGATTATATGAAATAAAATTTTTAAATATATGAACATCATTAATAGTCCTACGAAATCCGGAAAAAGCATAGAATAAGGAGATTTAGTATAGCTGTTGTCACAATAGTGGACTTAAATTTCCCTATCATGTAGAACACCTTTTTAGGTAAGATTTTCTCAAAACCCTTTGCATTTTCTTCTTTTAAGACTACAATTTCTGATTGCAAAAATCAACACTTTCATCAGACAATTTGAACTCAAATATTTTTTTTCATTATCGTCGTCTTTGAAATGTATCGCCAGTTTAAATTAATTTTATTTGTCATAATATTTTTTTTTATTTTTAGCAACCTCCACTAAACTGAGACACTCCAGGCATTTGGATGCGAAATCTTATCTTCTAAACGAAAATGATTTTATGGTATATAAATAATTGTTTTTTCTGTATGTAGAGCCTTGATTAGATGAATATGAGGGATCAGTAGAGCTTTCCAAAAACAAGATACCACGCGCATTGCGGAAGTCTTCGGTTAATAGTACTTTGACTGAGTAAAGTCCTGCTGATCCACCATCTTGCCCTAATCCAGACTCTACTTGTATTTGAAATTTAATCAAAATAAGGTTTCTTATTGATATTTAAAAATAAACTGTTTTAGATTGAGCAAGAGAGAAACCACAATCATAAACCTGTATTTTCGAATTGTTCAAATTATGCTCCTATGGTGAAAGAAGAAGAACCAGCAGGGACTATTGTCATTAAAGTACATGCCGATGACCAAGATCCACCTGAAGAAGGAGGTAGATACAACACTTTCAACAGTAGAACAAAATAACGTCAAACTGGAATCTATTCTAATTCTTTGATATGTTACAGGAACTATATCATACAGTTTTGTTACTGTATCTGGTGAGAAAGTTAAATTTGAAATCAACAACAGAACTGGACTTATTAGAACAACACAAAGTTTTGACAGAGATGAACCAACACGTGAAAAAGAAGTATATCTGACAGTACTAGCTACAGATAATGGAAAACCACAACTCGATGATGTTTGTACATTCAAAGTTACTATCGAAGATGTAAACGATAATCATCCTTTTTTTGATAAAGTGGTATGTATTTTAAGTTACCTCAAAATTATTTATCCAACTTCACTTTTAACAATATAAATATATTTATTTTAATTGAACATCTAAATCGGCTTCTAACGATCTTTTACTAATTTAATACAGATTATTTTGTAAAAGAAATTTAAAATTGGATTAGAATTGTAGATTTGGTTGCATTACTCTGTTATATTATATTTTGCAGGCCTCGGATTATACGACTTTTTCTGCCTTTTTTTCAAAAATACGACTTTTTCCGACTTATTTTAACAAGATGCGACATTTTTTACATTTTTTTTACAAAATATTTTATAAAATGCGTCTTTTTTTAGTATACAATGCAGATCTTCTTTATTTCAATTATTGAATAAATTTTTAACTAAAATTTATCACTAAATTAATTATTTTTAATACTTTTAATTAAATTCTTCACAAATTCAATTATCTTCAACTAATAGTCGAATTAAAGAATTTATCAAATTCAATAATTGTTTGAAATTTTAAAAAAATGAGCAACAGAAATTATGAAAAATTTCAATTCAAAATCACTTGAAATTCAATTATTCTCAAAAATTTCAATATAACACCTTCTAAAATTTAATTATTTCTAAACATTTTTACCCAAATCTTTCGGAAATTTAATAATTTTAATTCTAACTCTTCCGAAATATAATTATTTTTTTAATGAATTTTATAATATTAAATTAAAAATTAATTAAAAATTTCAATTGTAACTCTTCTAAAATTCAATTATTTTGAATAATAATATAGATGATAATTTTTTTGGATTTACATAATTTAGTCAAGATGTTAGTTGTTTTTTGGTAAAAACCCACATTTTTTTTAAATTTCTTCTTCTTCTTCATCTATTCTTAAATTTCTTCTTAATTTATTAATCTTGACTATTTTCAATAATTTTATTAAAATTTATCGAATTAAAGAATTTATGAAATTTAATAATTGTTTAAAATTTAAAAAAAAATCATCAAATAACATCAAAAATTTTCAATTCAAAATCACCTCTAAAATTTTCTATCTAAAACTTTCTGAAATTCAATTATTTTTAATGATTTTTATAATATTCTTCGAAAATTCAATTATCTGAAACCATTTTTCATTAAAAAATTTTTAAATTCTATTTTTGTCTGCAATTTCTAATAAATCTTTCAGTAACAGAAATCATCAAAAAAATTTAATTAAAAATCACTTGTCGTTCAATTAAATCATTTGAAGTACAATTATTTTCAAAAATCTGAATTTTAAATCTTTGAAAGTTCAATTACTTTCAAAAAATGTTATCTGAAATTATTTGATAAATTATTTTCAGTTCTGTAAAATTTAATTATTGTCTGAAATTTAAAATCTTTTGAATTCAATTATTTCTAAAAATTTCAACTTTAACTCTTACAAAATTTAATTATTTTTAATAATTTTAATATTTATTTAAAAATTTAATTATTTAAAAGTTTCAAATAAAAACTTAAAAATTGAATTGTCCAAAATTTAAAAAAAAACTACAGTTAAAATTTGCAGAAAATTTATTTCAAGTTTAATGTCTTTTTTGCAATTCAATTATTCAAAAAACAATTTTATTTAAAAATCTGTAAAACTTAGACGCAATTTTTTTTTACCATCAAAACTAAAAACTATGACAAAATTTATAATTCGAAAAATTGCTTAAATCAGACTTGAAAAAATTATAAAAATGGAACTTTAAGAATTTTTTTTAGAAATTTGTCCTATTAAAATAAAATTTTGAAAATTTGTCTTACAATTAGTTCGATTCTGAAATATTCGAAATAAATTTTCTTGATAATATTCTGGTAAAATTATTCTCATTACAGAATTAATAAAATGAATTTAATATCTAATAACATTAGTTATTTAAAGTAAAATATTTGTTAACTAATTTAATTTTGTTAAAATAAAAAATCGACTTTCTTTCTAATGTAAATTGACTAAAACGACTCTTTTGCGCCTTAAATTCAATCCGAGGCCTGCTTTTGTTTTTATTTTCTGTTTATATTTCTGACCGCGGACAGAGTGGAGTCTAAAATGGCATATAAAACTGATTTAATTCTAGGAAAAAAATAACCAGCCTTAACTCTTCACGAATCAAAAAATAAAATAATCGGAACAAAAGATATAATTATAGTGTTAAACTAATATGTAAAATAGAACATTTCTTTGAAATTTTTACTATGTATTCTTACTTTCAGGAATATATGGAATCAGTTCCACAAGATTTGCCTCTTGGCAGTGAAGTGATGAGAGTTTCAGCCATTGATGTAGATGACGGAAACAATTCTGTTGTTCATTACAGTTTAGTGTCCAAAAAGACTGATGATAGTGATCCTTATTTTAGAATTGATATAAACACAGGAGTAATTTTCTTAAATAAAACATTAGACGTAAGTAATCTCGAAACGTTTTTCAAAATTTATAATTTAATAATAATTTTACAATGCTCTGAGAATTAAAAACATAATAAACTTTGAGAGCAATGTCTGATGGCAAATCAAGTACAGTTTTAACAATTATTAGTGTAAGCTTACTTTGAAATTGTATTATTTTTTTTTATTTTAGAAAAACCCAGATTATAAATTTATTATGGAAGCAACAGCTATGGATCAAGGTCAACCACCACGTTACAGTACAATTGATTTAAATATAAGAGTTGTCGAGTCACACAAGAAAGCTCCTTCTTTCGATTTTAGATCTTCAGAGCCTATTAGTTTGCCAGAAAATTTTTCTGATTTTGATCAATGCATTGCAACTTTGACTGCTACCTCAAACATTGATTACAGTCCAGATGTGATATTTGACTTTGTTATTGGAAGAGCAGAACAAACAAATAAAGGAAATACGTTCAGGTAATATTAGTAATTTAAATTTACAAAACACCCCTGTCGCATTTTTTGCGAACTATTTCTTTTATTCCATATTTATTATTCATAATTGCCTAATGTAATATTTAAAAAAAAAAACTGTATTAAAGTTGTACTAAATTATTTCTTGATATAGAAATTACATCACTTATTTATTACAAAAAAGAATTTAAATCATCAAAGTTTTTCACTAAAATTGTTTTGTGTCAACAAATAATGCATTTTGAATATGTTACAATGAATTTTTCATTTGTTTAAACAAATAATTGTTGTTATTTACCAACTTTGTTAACAGTATATCTAGAGAGATGTAATTTTTTCCTAATTTTATAATTTATCTAACTTTATATAACTTTTAAACTGCACGAATAATTTTTATAAATTAAACTTAAAATTTCTTTTTAAAAAAGTAACTAAATATTTTTTTTCTAATATTTTTCATTTTTAATTGAAATCTTGAAAATTTTTCTAAATTCAATTTTAAAATGAATTCTAAATTTAAATTCTTGAAAATATTTCTATGAAACATTTTTATTAAAAACTAAATTTGTTAACTAATTAAATTTATTAAAAATTTTGTAAGATATTTGGAGTAGATTTTTAATTAAAAATATTTATATAGAATTTAATATACAGAATATCTTTCTGAAACTTTTGATTCAGAAAATGGATTAAATTTAATAAAAAAATTTTCTATATCTACTAAATTAAAAACTACTAAATTTGTGGTTAAGTCTATAAATTAACCCTCTATATTTACTTATATGATTTTCACAGTACCCTAAAAGTTCCCTGTTTTTAAATTTTCAGTGCCCTATTTCCCCTAAAACACTTTTTAGGTTTACTATGAAGCTAAATTTGATTATTTTTAAAGGCAATATGTTTTGTTTTCTCTAGGTTGGATTTACCGAAATCAACAAACAATACCGTTTGCATAAAATTAGCTCATCATTTGGATTATGAGACTGTCACCGAATACACTTTACGTGTGAGAGTTCAAAATAAATATCAATTGGCTGCTGAAACCCTTGTCAGTATTCAGGTACTTGATGTTAATGATAACATTCCAACGTTCCTGGAGCTAGAGAAAGGTAGTGTTTTAGAAAATGAAAAACCCGGCGTATCTGTAATGCAAGTTCGAGCTATAGATGCTGATGGAACTAAAGCACACAATCAGGTAAACGGAAAAGATTTATATTTACAAATTTTCGTAGCAGAGATTTGTTTTTTACAATTTTATACTTAAACAATAATATTCTAGATTACATATGAACTTGACAACTTCAAAGATTTATTTGCAATTGATGAAAAAACTGGCAATATAACAACACTAGTGAGATTTGATAGAGAGAAAGAAGATACATATAATGTAAAAGTGATTGCAATTGATAATTCTCCCAGTGCTCTGTTTAAAACTGGAGAACACAATAAAGGACAACAAGTTTTTCGTATTGAAATAGCAGATAAAAATGACAATAGTCCACATTTTACTCATTCTCTATATGTTGCTAAAGGAGTTATGGAAAATGCAAACATTAATCAACGTGTAATTGAAGTTGAAGCTAAAGATGAAGATACAGTTAGTCCTGTTATTTATAGTATTATTTCAGGCAATACAAACAATAGTTTCTATATCGAAAGTACTACCGGGAAAATACGTGTTAATCAGCCTTTAGATTTTGAAAAAATTACCGAATATGTTTTGACTGTTAAAGCTTTCGATGGATTATTTAATGACACAGCGCAAGTCAAAATTTTTATTAATGATGTAAATGATAATTTACCAGTTTTCGAGAACTTTGACACCAATCCAACAATAGAAGAAGAAAAACTAATTGACAGTAAGTCAAATTAAAGAAGCATATATTCTTAATACTTAGTGAAAGTCTTTTTCTTACTCCTGTTACAATTGTTTTTTTCTCTCTTTCAGCATGTATTACGACTGTAGTTGCTTATGATCCTGACATCAAGGACAGAAATGCTGATCAAAATATCACTTATAATATTGTCAAAGTTGAACAGCAACCTCTGATAGACATCGACAAATCAGGTTGTTTGAAATTGAAAAAACCACTGGATCGAGATGCTCCCAATGGGTATCCAACATGGACGGTAAGTTTTAACTTTTTTCTTGTTTATTATGAAGCCAGGTTTCGAAGTACCACAATCTTTTACTTTTTTTGGACTGGGTTATTTTTTTACTACTATTTTTGGCCAGAAGTTATTGAATCAGGGTTGCCACAAAAATTTCATTATAATTTGCCTGACTTCCAGACAATATTTTGTGTTTTTCCCCGACATTTTGTTTCTGATCCTGCTCTCAATATTATTTATTTATTCCAACTTTCCCCGCGGTCCATTAAGGACCATAAATGGGTAACAATACAAATTTATGATTAATAAATTAAAATAAACAGATAATTATAATTTTTACTGGCTAAAAATTTTTAAAATTAAAAAGAACGGCAGAGGTTCACAATGACACAACAAATTCTTTCTAAAAATTCAATTATTTTTAAAGCTTTCAATCAAATTTTACGAAATTTCTATTACTTACTATTCTTTTCATTTAATATGTTCGAAAATTCAATTATTTTCAAAAATATAATTAAAATTATTATTATTTAAACAAAATTTTAATTATTTCATAATTTTGAATAAATTCTTCGGTAAAATTATTTTTAAAATTTTAATTTAAAAATTTTTTAAAAATAGAAAAAGTCAACACTTTTAATTGCAACTCTTTGAATATTGAATTATTTCTATTAAATCCATGTAATTATTTTATTCAAATTAGCAAAATAAAATTATTGTTTTTAATACATTAATTTATTTTTAAAAAAATTTAACTGACAAACTACGTAAATTTAATTAATGAAAGAAATTGTAACAATGTTCTTCGAAATTTAATTATTTGCAGAAAAACTCAATTATTATTGTTACGGGAGTTATGAATTTTTTAAAATTAAAGTTTACATGAAGAAGGTACTTTTCAAACGCATTTTTCTTCATTAAAACGAAAAGATGGAAAAAAATGTGCCATATTAAATTTGTTGGAAATTTAAAAAATTTTTTATATATGCAATAAAAAATAATATATTTTTAGTGGAAATGCCCAAAAAGTCAAAATTAAAAAAAAATATTGATTTTTCTCAAAGAGAGACACCATGGATTTTCAATTTTTTTTTTGCAATACAATATTGCAAAAAATAAAAAAATAATAAATAAATACAATTATTTCTAAATAGATGAAACAAATGACTTAGAATAAAAATGGAGTGAAATTGTGTTTTACATTTATAAAAAAGCAGTTTCAAGCTCTCTTTACTCAACTCGAAAATCTGAAATACTTCTTAGATTCCAAAAACGCCACTTTCTAATATACGGGAAAAAATTCTTTATTTATTAGAAATTGTATTGCAAAAAAAAAAATTGAAAATCCATGGTGTCTCTCTTTGAGAAAAATCAATATTTTTTTTTAATTTTGACTTTTTGGGCATTTCCACTAAAAATATATTATTTTTTATTGCATATATAAAAAATTTTTTAAATTTCCAACAAATTTAATATGGCACATTTTTTTCCATCTTTTCGTTTTAATGAAGAAAAATGCGTTTGAAAAGTACCTTCTTCATGTAAACTTTAATTTTAAAAAATTCATAACTCCCGTAACTTTCATCAAATCAAAAAAGAAAAAAATACGAATTCTCTTATTTTTCATAAAGATTCCGAAAAAAATGTTCCAGGAAAAAAAAATTTTGAATAAAAATTTTTCGTAGAATGCCCCATATGCATTCTTTTTGTTTTGAACCATAGTTTTATTGATATTTTTTTGGTGCAAAAATATTGATTTTTATTGCAAAAAAAATTGTTTATTTATAAACAAATAGTAAAAAACCATGAAAACAATCGAATTTCAAAATAAAAAAAATAGCTTCATATACTTAAAACCCTTCTGAATAATATTCAGGGAAAAAAATGACACGCATTCGACAATTGGTTTATTTAAACATTTTTGACAGCGCGCATGTAGCACGTAGTGAGTGACAGGCGCCGCGCTACGTTCCTCTAGAACTCTAATGTAGGTATTCTATTCTACAAAGTCTGTGGAAAAATTAATTTTATTATTAAATTATAATTTTCAAATGTTGTTTTAAAAAGAATGTTTCAATTTTGTGTTTACATATTATTATTAATTTTATTATTGGGTAAGACTCTGTCAGAAATATAACGATTTGCAAGGGGTCTTTGGATTCGTCTGTAATTTTGTAAAATTGTAGTATTGGATATAAGAAATAAAAGTCCCAAAGAATTTTTGAAAATTTTCATAATTGTAAATGTTACACCATATTGAAATTTTTGACAATTATTTTTTAAACATTAATATTTCTGAAACAATTAATTGGATCTAAAAATTTTAATGTTATTGTTCAAAAAGCATATTTTTTCGAAGTGATATATAGTTGAAAAAATATTGAAATTTGACCCAAAAAAAGTAGAAATTTTTTTTAATCGTTGTTATACTTGAAAGGGACCGATGTTTGAGTTTCTTGTAAAAAGTAAAATATTCCTTCTAGTTTCACCTTTATTTTTCCAACAAAAATTGGACTAAAATCATTATAAAAATATGCACCAAAAAACAATAAATTGAGCTAAAATGTTTATAAGTTTTTATTATACATAATAATAATAATAATAATAATAATAATAATAATAATAATATGTAAACTGAAATTTGAAACATTCTTTTTAAAACAACATTTGAAAATTATAATTTAATATTAAAATTTATTTTTCCACAAACTTTGTAGAATAGAATACCTACATTCATTCTTGTCATTCACTACGTACTACATGCGCCATGCACGCTGTCAAAAATGTTTAAATAAACCAATTGTCGAATGCGTGCCATTTTTTTTTCTCGACGGAATATTATTCAGAAGGGTTTTAAGTATGTGAAGCTATTTTTTTCATTTTGAAATTCAATTGCTTTCATGGTTTTTTATTATTTGTTTATAAATAAACAATTTTTTTTGCAATAAAAATCAATATTTTTGCACCAAAAAATATCAATAAAACTATGGTTCAAAACAAGAAGAATGCCGTTCAGATCACTAAAATCGAACAATAAATTTCTTTGAAATTAATTTTTTAAAAAAAGGGTTTTTTTCCAAAATCGTTTTAGAGGGTGATTGTGCATATAAAATACTATAAGAAAAATAACATTTCAACAAAAAATAAATTTTTTCAGTTTTAGGTGGCACGTTTCAGAAATTCTTACTCACTAATAATTAAATATTGCTAATATATATAAATAATATTTAAATATTTTATTTAAATAATAAAGTAATTACGATATTTTTATGTGTAGCATTAAATTGTCTTGAATTTTTCGACACAGTAATTAATCACTTATACAAAAGGCAAAATTTCTGAAGTGCAATAATCAAACATCATAAGTTTGAACATGGTAATGAAGTTTACAACATTTATTATCAACGTTTAGAAAAGAAACATTCTTTGAGAAGAAAAATTATAAAAAATTTTTTTTATTACGAAAATGTTTATTTATAATTTTTTGATCAATAAACATTAAAAGAAATATTTTTTAGGTAAAAATTTATTAGAGGTTTAATTCAAAAAATATTTCTTTACAAATCGTTGATCATCAATGTTGTGAACTTCACCATCGTGTGTAAATAGTGTGTTTTTTGAAAAGTCATAACTTTACTTACAGGATGCTAATTTTTTTTTTCTTTAATTTTGAGGATACTTTTCACACTTCTTTTTAGTCTTTTACTATACTTCGAAACCTGTGAAGATAATTTATAAAATTTATTTTCTAATTTAATTTGTTGATGTGTATTGTTTAAGGTTATTGTTATGGCTAGAGATGAAAATGGTTCGCCAACTTCTCTTCAGAATCTTCAAATGGTGAATATAACGCTAGAAGATATAAATGACAATGCACCATTTCTTAATATGCCATATCCTGTTATATGGGATGAAAATAAAGTGGCTGGAAAAATTATCACATTGGAGGCGCAGGATTATGATGATCCTAAAAAGAATGGACCTCCATTTTATTTTGAAATTGATTATTCTGCAGACGAGGAAATTAAAGCGAAATTTGCAATTAAAGATAATAATCTTTATGCATTGGTTAAATTTGATCGTGAAGAGAGAAAAAGTTATGTTATTCCTATTTCAATAACAGACAGTGGCACTCCTAGAATGACTGGTATTTCTTTGTTAACAGTCATTATTGGTGACGTAAATGACAATCCAATGAGAAATGGTAACAGCTCTATATTTGTTTATAACTATAAAGGTGAAGCTCCTGATTCAGAAATTGGTAGAGTCTACGTTGACGATCCCGATGATTGGGATTTACCAGACAAGAAATTTTCATGGGCATCTTCACACGATGGATTTCAATTAAATCCTGAAACTGGAATGATTACTTTACTTTCGGGTACAACGAATAAGTCGTTTATTCTTAAATTTCGCGTTAAAGAGCAAAGTAGCTATTTCTTAGATGGATATTCTGAAGTGACAGCCGAAGCGATTGTTAATGTTACTATTAAAGAAATTCCCGAAGAAGCTGTCGCCAAATCTGGATCCGTACGATTTTATGGAATGAACGCTGAAGAATTTGTAATGCCTTTTGGTGATTCAGGTTTTAGTAAGAAAAATATGTTTCAACAAATTTTGGGAAATATATTAAATGTATCGACGGACAATGTGGATGTATTTACGGTACTTCATTCACCACATCATAATAATAAATCTTTATTAGACGTCCGATTCTCTGCTCACGGAAGTCCTTATTATGCGCCAGAGAAATTAAATACTATATTAGCTGAACATGCTATTGAAATTGAACGAAAATTAGAAACAAATATTTTATTAATAAATGTTGACGAATGCCTTCAAGAAAAACTTCACTGTAACAATTCCTGTCGAAGTTTTCTTAATGTTAGTTCAGTGCCTTCAACTGTTTTTACAAACACGAGCTCGTTTGTTGGTGTTCGAGCTGTTGTTGATCCTCAGTGTATTTGTCACGTGGCAGAACCAATTGTTTGCTTAAACGATGGAATTGCAGTTGGTGAAAAATGTAAGTGTCCTGCAGGATTCGAAGGAGCAAGATGCGAGTTATTGGCTATTGGATTTCATGGTGACGGTTGGGCTGTTATGCCATCACCTGGACAAGCTTGTGATGATTCACATTTAGGTAAGTCTATTAGTGACCCGCAAATTTATTCAACTTTATAAAAAAAATTTATATATTAATTAATTAACAACAAATTTTTTTTATAACAATATAAATACATATATGTTTTTGTAAAATTTTCAAAAATATAGCAAATTGTAAAGAAGAATTTAATATAAGATAGCAAAAATGACTAATCGGGGATTTTTGGGGTCGCTGTTATTAAAATGTATGAGTAAAATATTTATTTATATGTTCACAGGTTTGGAAATAACTCCTCATACAGAGAATGGATTGATTTTCTATTTTGGCCCAGTATTTTATTCTTCGAAATTAGGAATTCAAGACTTTATGGCTTTGGAAATTGAAAATGGATACGCGGTTTTGTACGTTGATTATGGTACAGGCACAGTTAAATTAGATCAAAAACAAATTAAGTTAACTGACGGTAAAAGTCATAGAATAGATGTTTATCTAACCAAAAATGTAAGTTACATTTTTCTCTTTATAATTATTACTTGTGAATGTTATGAAATTATTTAAAAGAATCTAATGTTTTTACGGATAATTTTAATTTTTAGGCAATTGAAATGAAGATCGATAATTGTGGAATATCAGCTTGTATGGGTCTTACTGCTCCGCAAGGTTTAAATGAATTCTTAAATGTAAACGGACCTATGCAAGTTGGAGGCACACTTTCAAACCTAGCTTATTTATCCAACAATTTGGGTTGGAATTATACTCCAACAGAAAAGGGATTTGTAGGATGTATTCGAAATATGACATTCAACGGAAATGTAAGTATTTAATTGTATTACTTTTTAATTATAGAGATGGAGTTGAAAAAAATAAGTTATTATAATTTAATAGAGGTTCAAAAACATTTTTATTTTAAATTAGAAATTTTTTTATCTAAGATTTTTGAATTTCTTGAAAATTTGTCTGAATTTTAAAATATTTACTAAATAAAATTTCTTAATAAATTTTTATTCCATTATTCTTATTAAAGAATTATGAAAACTTATTTTTTAAATGTAAACACAATGATTAATAGAAACAAAATATTTCTTACATTAGATTTATAAAATCTTAAAAATCGACTTTTTCTACTTATTTTACAAAGTAAAATTTAAAATTAAATAATTTATTAAAATTAAAATACTTATTTTTTTCAGTACAAACTGTAATTCTTCCAAAATTCAATTATTTTGAAAATTGAAATCTACAATTTTTTTGCAAAATTAATTATTTTCAATAATTTTAATGAAATTTTTCAAAAATTAAATTATTTAAAATATTTTTTTTTTTTTAATTTTTAAAATTTAGTTATTGTCTAAAATTTTTGTAAAAAAATGTTCCGTAATTTAAATTTACAAAGTTTTCAATTCAAAATCTCCTGAAATTTGATTAATTGTAAAAATAAATGATTGATTTTTTGAAAAAGTGTTGATAGCTGCACTTATCTTCAATCAATGTTTTGTAATTAATAAAATAATAATTATAAGTCAATGTCAAAGTCATAAAAACAAAAAGGTTGTAATAATGAATTTTTTTACAGACATACAATTTAGGAATGCCGTCCATGGCCAAAAACGCAGATTCTGGATGCAATCATGGAATGGCAAAAGCTGTTTCTTTTGGAATAGATAGAAACTTTTTGGTAGCTATTTGTGTTTGTGCGGTTACATTGTTTATCCTTCTTTTGGCTGTAGTTGTTCATAAAAAACGAACGGATGATTTATATAAAGACATGGATGATATAAGAGAGAATATAATTAATTATGACGATGAAGGAGGTGGTGAAGTAGATACGGGCTATGATCTAAATGTTCTTAGAGCTATGTACGATCCTTCTCTGGATTCGAAAATTACACCTTTGGGACTACAAACAAGAGGTAGGAGATTAATTCTTAAAGTGATCTATTTTATTAGACTGTTTATGTTTCTAAATTTTTAATTATTAAACATGTTTAAAGGACAAAACGAAGTGCCTGATATTTGTGGTTTTCTTGATGTACGAAAAGAGAGTTGTGATAAAGATCCTGACATTAACCCATTTGATGATGTTAGACATTACGCTTATGAAGGTGGAGGCAATTCAGATGGATCATTGTCATCATTAGCTTCGTGTAAGTAATTAATATTAAAATTAAAAACATTTATAGTAAAATAAAGTGTATATTAAATATATAATTCACTTTCTAGGCACTGATGATGGAGATTTAAAGTTCAATTATCTTTCAAACTTTGGACCAAGGTTTAGAAAATTAGCTGATATGTATGGAGAGGAATCCAGTGATGAAGAAAGTGAAGGTGTCTGCGAACGCGAAAGTGAAAGTTGGTGTTAAAAGAAGTGAATTGATTTAGAAGCATATTTTAGATGATCTGCATCAAGTTATTGCTTGAAAATACAGAGAAAAAAGATTTTTCTAAACAATTAATTTTTAAATTAGAAAAAAGAAAAAAATCTTTCTTTGAGCTGCAATTCAAATAAGAATTATTTTTAGAAAAAAAAAAAATAATTGACATATAGTTTATAAAATAATAAATATATTATTTTATTATAAGAATTTTTTCAAGCACTAACTAAATGACATAGTGCGCCTTAAAATATTATTTTAATATTCTTTGCTTCCACGCGGAAAAAATCTTCGCCCAAGATTTTTTCATGTCATACAATTTCAACTGTTGTCGAGTCGGCGTCGTCTTATAAGTAGTAAAAACGAATATATATTTTTCGTCTTTATGTACTTAAAGTAAATATATATATACTATAATTTTTTTTTCCATGGCGAAGAACGCATTTCCTTCGATTTCGAATTCTCTAATTCTACGACACGCCAAAGAATCGAAACAGGAAAATGTGATATTAAATATTTGATGTAATATACATTCCCATTGTGCTGAATGAATAGCAAACGTTTTAAAATGTTAAATAATAAATATTTTAGGTTTTATACTAAAGCCTTAAACATTGATCAAATACAGGGTGTAAAATTTACATATGAAACTATTATAAGTTAAAAAAAAAATTCTAATCAAATATATCGTGAACAGAAACAATAAGTATTAAATAGAGGTATTTAAAATTGATTAAATCATCGTTAAATGATCTATTATATGAATACATTTTTTTAAATGAAGTGTGACTGATTATTGTTAAAAAAAAATTTATTAACAGAGAAATTCTGTACATAAATTTAAAAAATTTTTTGAAAACTTGTACGATTTTTATATCAAAGGATCACATATTCTTTGTAAGTCTGCGGAAAGTGTGTCTTCCGTCCAAACATAATTATTCTTTTACATTCTCATTAGTTATTACTGAAAATAGTTTCTAATTAAATGAACTATTTACACCATAAATAACTGTATATTATCTTTTTAGATTTAATTTTTTTTATTTTAACCCTACAAAACTTGCTTGATGATAATTTTTTACTTTTTTTTTGAAAGGAGTAAATTTTAAAAATTTTGAAAAATAAAGATTATTAAAAGGATTCTCCCCATTAAAATATTTTTTAGTATTTTAAACAAAGGTGGAATATAAAGGCAAGTTTTGGAGGGTTAATTAAAGAAGTATGTAATTTTATAGGTTTACAAGTATATAGGTATATATATGTGACGCGACGCAAAGAAAGGTACCTAAGAAGGCAAAAATCGATTTTCGGATTATGATTGTTTTCGATAAACTAAAGATTGCTTTTCAATTATCTGAAGTCAAAATTAATTTTTATCTAATACTTTTCTTGTAATAACGATTTAAAGATGAACAATTCGTGCTAAGAGTTGATTCTCTTTTTCCTCACGCACACATATCTACGCTCCCCTCTCACTGTAACCATGCGCCACTTGAAGTTCGGGTCGGTATTCGTGATTTAGAGAGAGATGCGCTGACTACACCGTTCTCTCTCACTACGAAAGCACGTGAACGAGGTGCATCTCTCTTTACTTGCCGAAGACGGCCGAATACACAGACGCTAACTCGAATTAGTAGTGGGAAACGAGAGAGAGTAAGAGATATCGGAAATTCTGCGCCGCGTTCTAGCTTGTTCTTTTCCCTCTCCTGTAAAATTGCCGTTTGGCTTCTTAGGTACCTTTCTTCGCGTCGCGTCACATATACATACAAAAATTGTAAATTTTACGAAAACAATTTTCAAGTTCATAGTTATCGTAAGAAACTGCATTGTATTTATACATTTATTAATATTAATTAAGCAGCTATAGTGTCATTTCGATTAAGGGGTTACATCACTCGAAAATTCGAAATTTCTAATGCTTGAATGGTGCTTTAAAGCCTTAAAAATAAGAATATTAATTTAACATCAATGTGAATGACACATCATTTTACGAGGAAAATATATTTTGTATAAAGTTTTTTGCGTTTTAACATTCCGATATGAAGCAGCTAATTTTTTTTTTTTTTAGAAATAATACTAAAAATGTTAGTTTTATATCATGAGACATTTATTGTTAGATATAAATAGCCGAAAGGCAATATAATTTACATTTATTTTTTAAATGAATTATAAAAAGAAAAAAAAACATTATTTTTGAACGCTTTGAGTGATGTTACGTCTTAAAATTGTAGAACAATGTAAGAAGAAATTTATCTAATTTATTACGTAGATACAGCCACAAATGATTGTAAAAGTCCCAGGATAATTTTATTTCAGTATCATCGTTAATTGTAAAATATTTTATGTGCCACTGCCGAATTTTTTTTTACTTTTATATAATTTAACTTTTATATTTTTTGTTTAAAACAATTTAATATTCTTTTTTTATGGATAAATTATACTTTCTTTTGATACAAAACTGAATTTACAAAAAAGCATGTTAAAAAAATGTTTTTTTTTATTTTGTGATACAAAAAAAAATATTTTCTTCTATTATAAAATAAGGAAAGGTGAGGGTTTTTTTTAATGAGATTTTTTATAATAGACTTTGATTTAGTCTTTCAGTATGTTTTTGTATGCATTTCAATACAATTTTTTGTATTTACGCGCAAATGGGACTTTTACAGATTATTTGAAACGAAGATTTTGTCGTGCCTTTTACAGATAAAATATTTTTAGCGCATAAAACTTATATCAAATTTATAAATTGTTTATAAACCATTTATAAGATAGTGGAGAAAGTTCAAAGAACTTGGTTCACTTTTTAATTATGTACGACTGTTGACCGATTTTCAACAATCATACACCAAATCACCATGTATTTTATAGTAATACCGTTTAAAGATTTTATGAGAAAATAAATTTAAAAAAATAGAGACAGGTTTATTCTTTTTTAACCATCATAATATATTTTTTTAATTACACCTGCGTGACATTTTCAAAAAATGGATTTTTCTTTTTTTCTTAATTTTGAAATACTTATGAGTATTTTAAGCCATTATTTATTAATTTATCTCAAAAATAATTTAATGTCTGTCTTTAACGTCCGAGAAAATATAATAATGAACAAATAAAAACAAAGTCATTCGGAAAACAATTCTTTAAAGATACTCTAACTTTTCAAAATCCACGGATTTTTTCTTCAGGTAGTCTATTTGACATAAATAAAAATTAAAAACGAAATTAAAATACAAATTTATAAATTAAAAATAACGTAACAAATTTGTTTACAATAACAACATAAAAAATAAAACAAAGAGAGAAATAATAATTACATTTATTTAGGGTTGCTACGATTTCTCTCGAACAAAATTCCATGACTTTTTCAGGACTCAGTATGATATTTTTCCATACTCCACAAAAGTATGGTTTACATAAAAATAGTTATTAAATACAAAATTGATTAAAATACAGTAAAGTTTATTACTATAATACATATTTTTTAAAAATTAATTTACCAGTTTTTTTTAATAGTTTTTCGTTATTAACAATAAATTAATTAAAATTTGAACTTTTTTTTACAACTCATATTATTTCTTTCATAGGAATATTTAATTAACTTAATTTAGAATATTCGATCGTTGTAATAAGTGCAGTTTATTACAAATACCTATTTTTGTATATTTTTAAAAAATGAAAATTAAATTCTTATTAAGTTTTTAAATTCTCATTGACATGAGGAAATTTTCGATTTTTGCAATTATTTTTAAATATTTCTTAAGTAATTATATAATATTTCGATATCACGAATTCTCGTAAAATATTTGGTAAATTGAGCTGAAATTTTGTGGAGAAATCAAAAATAGTATAAAGAATCATCGTTATGTATCAGAATATTAATTTTCTATCAAGAAGTTTATTTTTAAAAAATTGCATATTTGAAGAAAATTCAATATGTCGACAATACGATTTTAGTCATTGTCACAAAATTTTAGCTCAATCTATCAAGTCTTTTGCTAAAAAACCTGCGGAGAATATTTTCATGTGAAATCACAACAATCACATGACCTCAATGAATTTTATGATTTAATTTGTTTTTCCATATACCAAATAAAATTCACTGACTTTTCCAGGTTTCCAGAAAGTGTAGCAATCCTGTTATTAAACATAAAATAAAATAAAATCGGTAAAGTACTCTAGGGAGATTAAAGCATTTTTTTCGAAATTTTTTATTTTTCCTTGACAAAGCTATGTAAATTGATCCGATTCATGTTCGCTACATTTTTCCTGTTATCTACACGTGAAAATACATACATGTACCAAATTTTAACCCTTTAGGACAAAAGGTGTGGCCGCAAAAAAAGAATTTCAAAATTTCAATATATTTTCTGTAAAATAAACCTAAGAACATTAAAAACAGTTTATTTCTTCAGAAGTAATTCAAACTTTTATGAAATATTGTTTTTCATAATCAAAAACTGGGTGGTCTCATAATTCTGACCGGTAGTTTAAACTGCGGTAAAGATTTTAGAAAGAGCCAATGGTAACTTTAAAAAAAATCACATAAATACAATTGCACTTCAGTGCGTTACTATGTATTGTCCCTTTAAGATAAATTTAATCAAAAATAAACAGTAGGTCAAAGGTAAAAGTAAGTACAGCAAATTTATGAATTTTATGCTTTTATTTTGAAAAAATTACAAAATTTTAAAAGGGAAAATCTTTAAAACACTTTTAATTTATTCATTTTGTTGCTATAATGGCATAATTTCTAGGTGATACTGCAGGATCAAACAGCTGAATAATTTTTGGTTTCAAAAAACCGCTACTTTGGTTTAAAAATGTTGCCATATCCAAAATAATCGCTGCTTCTACAACGGGAGCTAAATACATTCTTAACATGTTGAAAATTTCAAATTTCCATTGATCAGCAACATAAGTACAATACATTTGTTCCAAGCATTCTCTTGATGGTATCTGGAAGTGAACAATTTTATTATTGTAGAATGTACTAAAGGCGAAACAAAATATGTGATTAAAAAGAAATGGTAGCTGTGAAAAGTAGCGTTTATTATTTTCCCACAATAAAAGATTATAGTTTTGTTTTTTATAAAATTTTAGGATCTCGTATTTCTTTTATTGATCCCCCATGCATTATTGTTTACTGGAAAAATATGGCTTAAATCAATATCTATTGAAACATATATATTAATAAAGTCATAAAAAACTAGGGCAAAAGTTTTTAAAAAATGACAATAGAAAGCATAAATAAATACCTTTTCTATAGGTACGCCGACTTTAATTAAAGCCCACTTTGCATAATTGGGAAAATCACTTGAAGGACCACCACGGCCAACTTTGATATCATTGATTCCTGTGGAAGTAGAAAATTATTAGGAAAAATATTAAATAATGAAATTTCTTACTCATTTAAAATAAAACCTCTCTGTAATTCCACGAGACCACTTTTCAGAGCACATTCACCAAGTTACATGAAACTTGAATAACATTCTGTTTATTAGTATAAAGTATAAGAAAATCTACATTTTAGGTATCTTACGAAAAAAAAATTTTTCTTAAAAAATGAATCTCGTGGAATTTTACGTCTACTTTATTTTTAAAAATCAAACCTAAAGAACGAAGAAGAACTTGCAAAATTGTTCGATAAAATAACTTTTGAGACATCGGTTCAGTTTTACTGTTTATTCTTTCCAATGATTGTTGAGCAAGCATCCTTGCATTTCTGGAAAAATTTGGTTTCTTCGTAAATGAATTTGTAATTAAATGATAACAACATGGAACAATACACAGGCATTTTGTATCTTTTGAATAAATAAACGATTTACAAATAGAATGAGTTAAATTTCCACAAGTATGCAAGCCAACCAAGATCGCATTGTTTCTATCATTTCCATCAAGAAAATGGTCGTCAATCAAACTTGAATAATCTGTCACTTCATTAATAATTTCATTTATATAACAAACCTACGGAATAAAAATTAATGTTAGATGTTTAAAACTTTTCATATTTCCGAAAAAATATTACTCAGATAGTACATTTAATTGCAGTGAGCTTGCGGCAAGCTTATAATTTTTAAATCAAAGACAATTTAAACATATTAAAATATTTCTGAAATATATCTTATAAGTTTTTATTATTATTAGAAAACAATATGATTTTTCATCAAGTGTTATTAAATACATTTATTTTTCTTCAAAACTTTTTGATTTTTTTCAGATATGTATATAAAATGTTTGAATGCCCATATTTAGATTCTTTATTTTTTTTTTGAAATAATATAAATCTTTTGAAAAAAGCTATAGGGGAGAGTGACAAACAGTGGGACAGTTTAAACAGTAGGACACTTTAATTTTCTGAAAAACTACTTAAAGAAACTCGACCAAAATTTAAATGTAAACCATGTCCATCTCCAAAAATTTTAGCCACATTGATTCATTATTTACAAAGAAAATTAAAAAAAAAACTGTTTTTGACGTTCCAGAGTAAATTTTTTCTTAAAATACAATGCTGATTTTTTTTTGTATAGATAGGACAGTTTTAAAAAAAAGTGTAATTGTTACTTCGTTTACTCATGTTTTTAAGTATAATATCCAATAATTTAAAACATTTTACATTAAACACTGGGACAGGCAAAAATTTAAGTTTATGAAACGTGGATTTTGGCAACACTGATTATAAGTTGTGTCAGCTATACGCATGCGCATTTATACTTACACAGCGACTAAAAATGTGATTTTTTTATGCTAAAAAACAATAAAAAATTCAAAATTTATAATTAATAATTATTACAATTATTGTTAGACAACATTTAAAAAGTAACACTCGATAAGAGAACGACTATTCAAATTTTTCTCCAAATTATAAAATATAAAATATTATTAAATTATGAGTGTTTTGCAACATTTGTTAAAGTTATTTAATGCAAAATATATATATTTGCAAAGATTGAAGCAGAATATTATTATTGAAATAATTATTCGGTAGTTAATAATATGTGTCCCACTGTTTAACACAAACCTTCAAAACAAGAAAAATGTATCAAGTTTGAAAAACTTGAAATTTTTTTATTTAATCACAATATAATATGTGCATTGTGTAGAAAAGAGTTCAAACTTTATGGTAATACCAAAAAGTCTTCAAAAATATATAAAATTGACATATTAATATGTCTTTGAAAAAAAACTGTCCCACTGTTTGTCACTCTCCCCTACTTTTTTACAATTTCTAAAGAAATCAAATGCAAATGCAATATTTCAGAAAATCCTAGTTACTCCCTTTTTAAAAATATGCTAAGGAAGAACGTGCACAGGAATTGTTTTAAATAATTTGAATTGTATAACAAAATACCATACCAATCAGCCCAAGAACGTTAAAAAATATTAATTTTTTGCCAGAGAAATTTAAAAAAATAGAAAAACCCTGAAAATTGGGTTTTTCTTAGATATCTAATTGAAAACTGAACGTATTCTTATTTTCAAGGTGTCTTTTTTTTCAAAATTTCATTAGTTTTTAGAAAATAAAAAGGAAAAAATTTTAGTTTTCATAGTTTTTAGATTTAAATCGTTTTATAGTTATTGAAAAAATAGAGGTCGCATAATTCCCGACGGTAGTGTATCAGAAATTATTTTTAAATTCCAATTTGTATGCGGTGCAGGGTTCTTTCAACTTTTTGAAATTAATGCTGTTTAAAGTTGTGAATTTTTTTTCTGACAATATTGAGTATTTAAAACTGTAATATACTATGAGAAATTAAAAAACAATTAAAATTTTTTAAGGGGACTTTCTGGTTTACAATTGACAAAGAAGACATGTTTTAAAACTTTCATTGTAAAGAAAAGTATTAAAGAAATTGCAAAAATTCTTTTTGGACATATATATCGCATAAGTACATGGGAAATTGGGGTCCGATGAAATTTCTTGAAACTTCGTAATTTTGTAGATTTTGACCTCCTGAACAAAAAATGTTAATGACAAAATTTAAAAAAACTGGACATATTTTTTGTTATTTAAGTTTTAAATTTGAAAAAATGGTTAAATGGTTAAATAAAATTTTTTTTAATTTTAATAATTCACATTACTTTTTGGATCCCAAATTAAATAATAATATAATGTATGTATGTCTGTCCTTCTGTCCTAACTTGAAGTTGGCCTTTTCTGATTTCACGTGTTTTTTTGAATAGTAATCTTATGACGTGTCAAATTTTGACAATTCTTTTTCTCATTTTTGCCGAAGTTGTATAATTGTGTTTCCAAAAACGAAATTTTTTTAAAGTTGTATTCGTATACAAGATAGTAATTTGAAAAAAAATTATTTTTAAAAATTAATTTTTAAGGTACCAGGGGCCAACGAATACCTATTAAATATTAATTATAAAAACACAGGCCTCGAATCAACATAAAGACACAAAAAGTCGTTTTAGTCGATTTATATTTCAAAAAAAGTGGATTTGTTTTTTATTTTAACAGAAATATTTTAGATTTTTAAATAAAAATTTTTTTTTTAATAATAATCCTTTTCGAAGGGTTAAAGTTGAAATTTTTAGAAATAATTAAATTTCAAAAGATATTGTTAATTTTCAAACAATTATTAAATTTTACAGAACTAAAAATAATTTATCAAACAAGTTTTGGAAAACATTTTTTAAATTTAATTGAATTTTCAAAGATTTAAAATTGAGATTTTTGAAATTAATTGAAACTTTAAGTGTTTTGTAATTAAAATTTTAGATGATTTCACTAAAAATTTATTAGAAAATGCGGACAAAATACAATAATTTGAAAATCATTTTTAATTGAAAAATGGTTTCACATAGTTGAATTTTCAAAGAATATTATTAAAATAGTTAAAAATAATTGAATTTCCTTACAGTTATAATTGAAATTATCAAATTTCAAAAAAAAATTTTTCGATGGAAAATTTTAGAAATAATTAAATTTTAGATGCTCTTAAATTCAAATTATTGAAAATTCAATTAATTTTGAATTCAAATTTTTGAGAATAATTAAATTTTATTCGATTTTAAATTTGGAAAATAATTGAATTTCAGTTCATTTTGAATTGAAAATTTTGGGAAATAATTGAATTTTAATTGAAATTTTGGATAATAATTTAATTTAAGTTCATTTTTGATTGAAAATTTAGATAATTAATTTTGAATAGAAATTTTAGAAAATAATTGAATTTTATTTCATTTTAAATTGAAAATTTTGGATAATTATTGGATTTTTAATTGATTTTGAATTAAAATTTCGGGTAATAATTGAATTTTAGTTTATTTTGAATTGAAATTTTTAAAAAAATAATTCAATTTTATTGTGATATATTTTCTTTAAATTATAAACAATTGTTAAATTTCATAAAAATTTTAATTGAAAAATAATTTTGATATAATTGAATTTGTGATGTATTTCATTAAAATTATTAAAAATAATTAATTTAGTGAAGAATCGTTTTAGTTGAAAATTTGTTAAATAATTGAATTGAAGAAGATCTGAAGAAGATCTACATTTTATACTAAAAAAAATGTATTTTATTTAGATTTTTTTCAAATGTAAAGAATAATGTCTCATTTTATTAAAATAAGTCGATAAAAGTGGTATTTTTGAAAAAAGTCGGAAAAAGTCGTATAATCCGAGGCCTGTAAACATATAATTTCCATTATTATCATTTAATATGTAATAATATTCTAATAAATTAAATTATTATTGATAATATTAATCTTTAATTTCTTTATAACAAACAATTAAATACTCAATTTGGCGGGTTTAACTTTGCTAGTAATGCTATAAAAAAATGAACACCCCTTAACAACATTAGTTTCGATTATTTGAAATTTCATCGTCCCCTTCCCTTGAATCGTAGAGTTCCTCAAATTTGCCCTTTTGCTATTTGGATAGAAATATAAATAAATATAGCAATAAACTTACTTTAGGAAAAGATAAACCATATTTCTGATGTATTAAATTCTTTCGCTGCAATGCACTGTTATAATGTGATGTTGATGATTCAATTGCCAATGAAGGAATACCATAGATTTCAGATAAATACTGTGATAAATATGCTTTGCCAGATCCGGCGTCTATGATTAAATCAAAATCGGTCTTCATAAAGTGGGCAATCGTTTTTGAGAACATATCAATTTCATGCCACTTTTTGTTCTTCATGAAAAAAGATTCATGTTTTGAGGAAATATTTTTGGAATTTACACTTTTTGATAGCAATGATGTTAAATCTCGATAATTTATTACTTCAGGACAGTTGTTCAAGTTTAAGGATTGAGTTATATTTTTGAAATTGTTCAATTCTGAACTCAATTCAGTAACCCACCAATCAGTTTTTGGATCCTCTGCTGCAATTTTTTCAAATTCTAATTTCATTGGTAAAGATATAAACTTGTTCCATAGATTTTCGGTTAGAAAATCGACTAAATGACAGTTTATAAGATTGTCATATCTTTCCATTAAATCAAGTACATTTGTAAAATGTTCTTTGTAAGTCATTTTGCCAAAAAAATACTTATACAAATTCAAAAATTAAGTTTATCCTCTTCAAAAGATGCTAAATTACTTTTTGTCATGGAACAAAATTTATTAAAGTTGAATTTTATATTCTCAAAAGATTTAATAATTTCAGTTGAGCTGTTATTATAGACTGAGAAATTATTTATATTTGAAAGTAAGTTTTCTTTTTGGAGATCAACTTTTAAAAGTGTTGATTGACTGTGACTTTTCATTAGTTCACCTTTAAAAAATCCCAACTGTGTAGCCACTGAACTTGTTTTGTGATAACCAAGGTGATAACCTTGCAATAAATTATTTTTACCCTTTTTATACCCTTCTTCGTAATTGCTTTCTGCAGCTAAATTTTCTGTCATTAGCAAATTTTCAAAAACATTATTGACATCTGGTTCCTTGGACATTATGATGAAAAGCAAAATAATAATATTTCAATTCCCACAGCATAGGCAACAGAATGAGGCATGACGTAAGTAACAATGTAGAGGTGTCATGCTGATTCTACACTCACCGAAAACTGTGCGAGCGGTCCGCATATGCGTTACGTTTTTTATATATATAGATAATTATAGTTCGGCTGCAGTCCCATGGCAGCATTTTGCGTTGCGTTTTGTCACTAGACCCTGAGTGTAAACATAGCAAACATATATCTGCATCTCTTTTACACTCATGGTCTAGTGACAAAACGCAACGCAAAACGCTGCCATGGGACTGCAGCCTTAAATATGGGAAGCGTCACTGAAAAGCGGACCGCTCGCTCAGTTTTCGGTGAGTGTAGAATCAGCATGAACGTGAAACATGAGTTAGAAAAGGACAGATATATATTTGTATCCTTTTCTATTTCATGCATCTCGTTCGCGAACGACTTTCACGAAGCTACTGTGCGTTGGCCTTATGTCTACTACACTTTTGTCTCCTTTTCTAACTCACATGTTGTCATGGCAATACATGTGTAAGACAAGGACAAATAGAGGGAAGGCATCAATGATCACGAGTGTACTACGTTTATTGTTGAGTGTAAGGAAAGTGCAGGCATTTTAAATACTTTTCATAACAATAAATTTTGACAAAGAATTTGTATTTAATTTAAGGACGTTATTTGGAAATATGACAGAAGTAAAAGTTAGTATTTAAAGTGAGAGATATAAATGAAGTGAATAGTTTTTCAAACATATTTGTAATATTAAAATAAGTCTTATTGATTACACAAATAGATAATACAATTTTTATAAATCAATGGCTTTTTTTTATTCAAATAAAACATCGTTAAAAAAGTAGAAGAGCACTTTTTTTAAATTAAAAATTGGAAGCATACTATTTGAGTACCCTTCGGCTTTTTATTGAATATTTCTAATAACTTCCTCTCTTGGATAGCTGAAACGAAATCATAACCTTTAAGGACGTTTATCCACGGAAATGCAGACCTCCAGAAAAAATTTAAATAATTAAAATAATATTATTAATTGTACTTTCTGAAAGAGGAAATATCAATTTTAAAGAAAAAAATTTTAAATATAAAAAATTTATTTATTTATACAATTTGCATAGGATAAAAATTTTCTGTCACATCGCTTCTACAGAATTTTTAAAAAATCATTCGATTTCAATGTTCTAAAAATGTTTTAAGAACGTTTCTGGAACGAACATGGTTTTTTGCACACTGAGTTCTATTTGAAGAAAACTTTAGATTTTTTTAAAATGATTTGAATAAATTCTGTAGAAGAAATGTGACAGAAAATTTTTATCCTATGCAAATTGTATAAATAAATTTTTTTTTTCTTAAAAATTCATATTTCTTTTTTCAGAAAGTTTTTGTTATAATTTTCGAAGATCATTAACAAAAGCTTAGAAATAATAAAATCTATGTTTTATTTGAAGTTTATAAAATTATAAAATATAGAAAAATGTTGGACATTTTTTCAAAAGTTACTCAATTATTATTTCTTTTTAAAAAAAATGGACAACGAAATTATTATTTATGGGGTACTCCACGTAATATTTTCAATAAAAAATTTGGAATAATTTTTTTCAATTTTTATATGGAAAAAAGGAAATATGCATTACTTTATTTTTTTTATTAAATGAAAAGAATTCTTTGATTTTGTATTATTTATAGTAATCCATTTTACTTTTAAATATTACAATTTTATTAAAAATCCATTAAATAAAAGAAAATAGATGTGGATTTTATAGTAGATTTAATGTCGTTTGACATCGTGATATTAATTTTAACTTTAAAAATTGAAAAACTAATTTTTCCAAAATCAATGTTTCATAGACTTACACCATTTTTAAAATATTTTAAAATATATCTTAAATTTTGTAGATTTTGTATACCTATTTGCAGAATGGCATCTTTAATAGTTTAAAAGTTATTTAATCTGTAAAAAAGTGCAGGTCGAGTTTTTGTTAATTAAATAACAAACATTTCTACAAAATTCAAGTTATTCTATAATTTTTTCAATATTTGAAGTTAAAATTAATAGCATGATGTCAAGCGACATTAAAACTTACAAAATCCACACCTATTTTCCTTCGTTTGATAAATTTTTAATATAATTGTAATATTTATTAAAATTAATATTTCATTAATCATCTAACAAAAATTGAAAGTAGGTACTTTTATTTGAATTAATTGATTTATTTTAAATATATAGAATTTAATTTTTAAATTATCAAGTAAAACTGGGAATCATTTATTGATTAGGTTACTTCCATAAGATGTAAAACATTTAAACTCTATAAATTTTTTTCAGGAAATTCCAGAAGCACAGGTTTTTAAAACTGTGCTTTCATATTGTCTATTTATTATTGCATTACCAATAATATGTTTCTTCACGAGCAAAGTATTGATATTCAATAGTACGTATGATTTAAAATAATTATGTTTATAATTAAGTAATTTCGATATAGGCAATAATTTTTAAAGACGTTTTAATATTAAAATATTAAAATTCATATTATAATTTAAATATTATTTAATTTAACTTAATTGTTTTAGAAATATTATTTTCTGCACAATTTTTTTCAACATTTTTTTACACAAAAAAAATAAAGGAAACTAGAAATAAATCACTTGAAGCTTTTGGAATGGCAATTCGAAGATAGTTTCACTGATTTATCGAATTTCTCAATTTTTTTACTTTAATTAAGTGATAATTGTCATATATTTACATATTTTTTAATGTTTAATTTTCAATAGATTCTGAAACATTTAATTAATGGAAAAAAACCCAGTCAAATTGGAGGGTTGAATAAATCGAATTAAAAAATTACAATTTTAACGTCTTATACATATAACAAAAATAATACAAATACAAATCCATCATTGCTCTAAAGTTTAAATTAAATTATTTTTTTACAGGCCTCTTGGGGGTAAACAGTATAGCAAGTAATGTATATGCTGCTGGTGTTGCTATATTGGTTTTGCATGTGGCTCTAGGTTCATTTATTTACAGAACATATTTTGACTCGCCTACTAAGAGTCAAGCAAAAACAGATTAATCAAATTCTACTTTTTTTAAGTTCATATACATGTATTATATATTATGTATATACAAATATGACAACTTTTATAATAATATATATTATCAAGTATTTTAAAACTTCTAATTTTATTAAGAATGTAAAAATTTAATTCAAAATACTTGAAAATATATATGAAAACAAAAAAAAAGTTTTATATATATAAATTAGGTTTTTAAATTATTGTATTAAATAACTTTAATTAGACTAATATTTTTTAATAAAAATATTACCTTTTATCAATTGCCTCTTTTTTATTAATAAAAGTAATAAATATAATAATAAAATATAAAATAAATAATTATTTATTAAATTTTATGCATGAAGCAATTGCCTGTGTGTGTAGCAGGAGGACAAACCCGCAGACTTTTTGTTGCTGAAAGTAATAAAACGTGATTTGCGACAGGTCCTTATTTACATTAAAAAAATAATAAAAAATAATTTTTTGATTTTTCATTATATTGCAGCATTCAGAAGACTTTAATGCGTGTATACAACTAAGTTCCAAATAAATCCGTTTAAAATTGTCGAATTGTTGATTTGTGTTTAAAAATCTTAATTAAATTTGTAAATAAAAATTTCTGTTTTTCGTTTTTATAATCTAAAATATTTGTCGTACTAAAAAATGTTAAAGAAAAAAAAGATGCGCCTTTTTATTTTCCATAAGGTGGTAATTTTCAAAAACAAAATTTTGAATTCTAATTTTCTTTACTTTTTGAACTCGCCTTTGAGCGAGCAAACCGACCGGAGAACGAGTTATGACACTCCACGAGAAAATGGACGTTCATTTTTATAATTATGTAACATCAAAATAATTTCTATTGAATATTTTGAATTTAATGAAGACTTAAACATCAGTCGTTTGTATTAACCCACACAGCACCGAAAATTCATTGAAGGATTAAACGTTAACTTGGGAGTCAAAATGAGTTAAAATGTCCGCATGTTAGTAAATATTTAACGCGAAAATAATATTTTAAAATTTAAACAATTTTTTTCGGAACCCGCGGCGATTCAATACTCCCAAGTTAACGTTTAAACCTTCAATGAATCTTCGGGGAATTTTCGGTGCTGTGTGGGAAGCAATGAACCTATTTATGTATTTTCTATCCAAAAATCACTAGTATAATCTTTATAGCAGTGAACCGATTGAGCTCAAACTTGGCGTACATACGTATTTTCGCGAGTAGATTAAACGAAAATTATAGCGAACCCGATTGGAATTGAATTGCATATACATAGTTATATTCGAAAAACATAAAATTTCTGAAAAAAGCGTGTCCCCCCGTCTTAACTTTTACAGTTTTGGAGCTAAGAAGCTTATACTTGGGACACATTTAATTTCACGTGTACATTTCACGAAAAATGTATTGTGAAAAATATTATATGTCTCATTTGAAATTGACTTAAATATTGCTTCGATACAAAAACTCAAAATTTCTGAAAAAAAATCAAAATTCCTTTTTATCTTAACTTTAACAATTTTGAAACCATTATATATGTACATATTTACAAGCAAATTGAAAGAAATTTATAGGAAAATTATTTTTTTTAAACATATATAAACATTTAAATAATCGTTAACGGAACCCTAGGTAAGCGAGTGTAACTCGCACTTGACCAATTTTTTTCTTTATTTTCCCAAATTGGTAAAACTTAAGAAATAAGGATTATTTTAAGGAAAAGAGGCTTAACATTTTTTTGTCATTGAAAAATCTTTCAAAAAACGTCAAAAACTTAAATCCCTACCACTTTCATATTATATTCAACAATTCGACGCCTCCCGTCCATATAATCGTAACTCAAATGTCAGAACTATATAATCGTAACTCGGAGCTCAGTTCAATATGAACGTAGTTAAGTTTCAGAAGAATAAAATCGTATCTCAACGATCAATTCTATATAATCGTATCTCAAAATTTCATTCTATATAATCGTATCACAAAACTCAACGTAATTATTATAATTATTATTTAAGCTTTATTTTTATTTTATGAAAACTTAAATAATAATTATAATAATTACGTTGAGTTTTGGGATACGATTATATAGAATTGATCGTTGAGATACGATTTTATTCTTCTGAAAATTAACTATGTTCATATTGAACTCAGCTCCGAGTTCCGATTATATGGATGGGAGGCGTCGAATTTATTTAAAATTTGACAAAAAAGGTTAACTTATGAATTTGTATGTTCTTACTTTTTTTCTGAATAGGTATGTTATTGCGCTAACCCGAAGGTTTAAGGATTTGTACCCTATATAAGGGTCAGACAGGTTATAAAGTCACAACCAAATAAACTCAATTAAAACATATATATTCTTTTATTTGTATTTTGGCTCCATCTCCACTTGAGACGAAAATAAATAACTATATTTTCTAGTTTTTAACAATATGTGCCTTGGTTTGCTAAAATAAAAGGGACTTAAGGTCCAAAAAATCATTTTTCACTTTTATGGCGGAAGATTTTTTAAAAATTTATCCCTTTCGCTGGAAACTTATTATTTAGGGATTTTGTGGATGTCTGATTAAGAATTTAATGTTAGATTCGTAAACAGCGACACATAAAACCTCCTTTTAAGCGAAATTGATGACTTAAATAAACATCTTTTATTTAAAATTTTGAAAATATGTTTTATGTGACGCTCCACGAGAAAAGTGACCTTAAAAGCAAAAAGTTTTAGTTTATGTCTAATGATATTTTGAGCTTGATTAAATGTTCATTTGTAAATATGTAAAATCAAAATCAGTTTCTATTAAATATTTTGGATCTCATAAATACATAAACATCAGTGGTTTGTATTAAGAGTTGATCCTCTTTGTGTATTTTCAATCTAAAAATCACAAACATAACCTAAATTTTTTTGTCACTATAAGGCACTGACGCACCGGTCTCAATCGAGTAGATGACACAAAGGTTTCTTCGTGTTATTTTTAACAGACAAAGACACATATGCAAAAAAGTAACATTTTTTTAAAAAATATTTACACAGTTTACGGATGGTAATAAAAAGAAAAATCAGCATTATCGTCATTAACAAGTTTTGATTTTAAAATATAATCACAAACAGCTTAATTTTTCAAGGTAACATTTTTTTTTGAAAAGAGAATTGAAAGTGTAATGTGCTTACAAATGATACAACAGTAAATTCTTTTTATTTAAATATAATGACAAAAAGTTTAATCCTCCATGGTAACATTTTTAAAAAGATAAGACATAGACTCTTTATTGTGTATTCGACGAATTGCCTCCGCTAGTAAAATACTAATGTCTACAGTTTTTATTTTGTGACATTGCATTTTTTGTAGTTCATGAGGTATTGTATTGGTTACAACAACCTGAAAAAATGATGTTATGTTTATTTAAAAGTTAATATTTTTGATAATACTTTAAACCAAATTTCAATTATTAAAATTTGTGAAATTAATGTTACGGGGTGCAAAAATATTTCCCATTTCCATTTAACAGAGTTATAATTTTCATTTAACATAAATTTTAATTAACAGAATTTTTAAGTGAGAGAATTTATATTTCACCGAAACTCCATTTGACCGAATTTTCCCTTGTCCGAAATGTCATTTGATAGAACTGCTAACATGTCAAATTTCCATTTGGTAAAACTTTCATATATTCGAGGATACACGTGAACATATATGAAAGTTCTATCAAATGGATGAATAAAAATGTAATGATTTTATAAGTTTCTACAAACCTCATCGATTAGTGACTCTTCAATAAGCCTAGGAGCATCAGAACTGAGTAAACCATGAGTGGCTAAAATATAAATTTTATAGGCTCCACGTTCTTTAAGAACTTCTGCAGCAGCAACAAAGGATTGTACATCGTCTACCATATCTTCCTGAAAATTTTTTTTGATTTACTTATAATAAATCCCTTCTTAATAAATGAGAAATATTGTAAAACTTTAATAATAAAAAAACAATTTCCCTTTTATTTCTTAAGCCTAGACAGTACAACATAGCTGGCTCATACGTAGAAGCATATCTGGGGTAGAAAACCACCCCAAAATTGTTTTGTTGCTAAAATGTTCATATTTTAGGCAAAATAACTTTATTATATATAATTTTCTTCATTTTTTATAAGGAAGAAGATAGCGTTTTTTGTTTTTTGATAGGATCGAAAATATTGTCAAAAAATTACAAAAACCACAACAAAAAACATAAAATCTGCAAAAAATACTGAAATTTGAATTTTTTCTGGAGTAGTTTTTTACCGCAGATATGCTTTCTAGGGTTAAAATACATTAAGAGGAAATAGACCTGATTTAATCGTTATTATGAATATCTAAAAACATTACTTACTACCATAATTGCGATCTTTCCACTAACATCTCCAACAACATTTATGGGCGGCTTTTCTTTAGCAGGGTGAATTGGAACTCCCACACCAACTTCCATTGTTCTTAAAGATAATGAAGCAGGCGGAGAGTTACGTCCGTCATTCATGTCAGTGTCTGCTTCTCTTTGCTCACCGTGTATAACGGCAATTCCAAGTCTTAAGCGCTCTGCATAACTGGTTGCCTTTTTCGCGCTACCTGGATTTCTTGCTACGATGACCGAGTCACGATAGTCAGGTATCTAAAAACAATCATTACGTTTTACATGAAATTGAAGATAAATTTGAATTTTCATCAGATACAAAATATGTGAAATAAATAAAGTTAGGTCCAGACTTGAACCGTAAACTAACTAGGGATTTCTTAAATACTAATGGCGTAAGGTGAAACCGTAATTTTAGACTTTTTTCAAATTTATACTATGTGTGGTTGAAACCGAAAAGCAAACCTCGTATTTCCTTACTTTTTATTTTCTTATTTAAGATTCTGCCTTTTATTTTATTTTGTTTAAGTTCTTTGGATGCAACCAAACATTAGCGCAATTTAATAATACCAATAGATTCTCAGAGTAGGAGTGAGAAAAATCTGAAATACAAGTTGAGAGTGCTATTAAGCCTACTGGAGCAATTAAAACCAACAGCCTCTTTTCTAGAGCTGTTTTTATTTAAAAGAATTTTAATTTAATCCAATTTTAATATAACAGAATTCTCATTCAATCGAATTTTATGTTATTCATATTTTTAAATAACAGAAATTTCCATTCACAGAATTTTAAGTCGCCAAATTTTCATTTGTTTGAAATTACAAATGTCCGAACAAACAATCGACAGATAGATTTTGGCGCAATTTTTTAAAATTGTCCAATTAGAAATTATCAAGAAAATCGTGATTGATTAATTTAAAAAATTGCGCCAAAATCTTTTTGTCGATTGTTTGTTCGGCCATTTGTAATTTCGAACAAATGAAAATTCGGCGACTTAAAAATTGGAATTCCTCTCATTTAAAAATTCTAATCACATAAAATTTGATTGAATGAGAATTATGTTAAATGAAAATTCTTTTAAATAAAAAGTCATGTAAATTAAATGACTATAAAATAAAAATTCTGCCAAACAGAAATACGATAGTTAAAAATGTTGTTATGTAAAAATTCGTTTAATAAGAAAATCTGTCAAAGTTTAATTTAAAAATTGAAAATTCGTCTAAAAAATAATTATTTGGAATAAAATACTTTAAAATAAAAATTCTAATGAATGATTTTTATGGAAAATTCATGCACCCTTTGATACGTCATAACATTACAATTCAAAAAATACGTGAAATCAGTAAAGACCAACTTCAAATTAGGAAAGAAGGACAGACCAAGCATTTTATTATTATATAATTATTAGTTTTACAATTAAATAATAAATAAATTAAATGAAGGTGAGAATTTCGACGCTACGCGGGAGGTCACAGTACTCGCCTACCATTCAACTCACGAAGCATTCAAACTCGCGTACCGGTCAGAATTTTTCTCCAATGAACGCTAGGCGAGAATTTCGACGCTACGCGGGAACTCGATGTACTCTACCATTCAACACGCAAAGCATTCAAACTCGCGTACCGTTCAGAATTTGTCTCGAAAATTTCAGAGATTGTTCTTTCTACATATATCACAAACATAGGTTAAAAATTAAGATAACATCAATACTCAAGGTTAAACGACAGAATCATAGATTAAAATGAACATAACCTCAAAAATGAAGGACATGTCAAAAACCAAAGTTTTGAAGGAGTTGAGACAGGCATAACCTCAAACGCGAATGCTCCACGAAATTGGCGGAGTATTCGTGGAGCACGAGATCGAAATTGAAAATTTATCTAAAATGTATAAAAATGATGAATTTGATAATATAATTATTAAAATCAATAAGTTTTATGCATTTTAAGATGATTATTGTTGAATAATTATAAAATTTTTACGTTTTTATTAATTTCAATATATTGCATTTGATTGTCAACATTTGTCGATAAAATCAATAGAGTCGCGCTTTTTAGCAGGTAGGTGTCAGCACTCTTATTTTCTTTTCTTTAAATTTTTTCTATATTTCTTTTATCAAAAGCAAAATTATTTGTTCAACGGAAATATTAGTAAAATATGTATTATTTCTGTGTTAAATAAAACCAATGTAAAAAAACATTTTTAACAAATCTAAATTATTAACAGATGATTATTGAAAATTGAGGTTTCCGCACCCGACGACACAAGTTGGAGGGGGCTGCCTACCTACGCGGCATAGTATTTTTCTAAATAACATTTTATAATTAATTTTTGATTCTTAGTAATACTTAATAATCTTTTTTTAGCACAGAATTAGATGATCTTCCAAATAAAAAAAGAATTGACGGTTTATTTTCATTTCCTTAAATGTTATTAATTATTATTTAAATAATTTTTATTTTTAATTATTAATTAAACACCCGTTTATCCAAAATAGTTCATATAAGGCTAGTTGGATGCGGATTTTGATAAGCATTCTAATGGTATAGTTTATGTTCATATTAAAATATAAATAAATATAAATTTCTGCTGTTCAAATTTAAACAATTTATTAAATATAAATTTAATCAAAATTATATTTAATATTTTTGGTAAATTTAAATATGGGGTTGGCGTGCGAAGCGAAATATAAATGTTTATAACTCACCGATTCTTGAATATATTGTAACAAGAAAGGACTAGCTCTTAAGTTATCAACTGGGCAATCGAAAAATCCTTGAATTTCCTTTTGATGTAAATCCATGGTTATCACATGAGTTAATCCACTTTTACACATCATTTTTGCTAGTAATTTTGACACAATGCAACCGCGTTTACGCATTTTACATTGCTTGGAATATGGTAAATATGGAATTACACCAACAATGTTTTTTGCTGATGATGTTTTACACGCATAAGCCATGATAAGTAACTCCATAATATTGTTGTTAACATCTTTTGTTCCAGTTTGTATAATATATATATCCTTGCCTCTGACAGAATCGCCAATCTCAACCATGGTCTCCCGATTTGTTTTATAATAGACTGCACAACCCCCAGTTTTCACTCCTAAACGACTTAAGAAAAAAAAATAAAAATACTTTAATACACGGAGAGAAAAATCAAGCTTTTGTAGTATGGGAGCCCTCTATGTTAATTTTGTAGTATGCTGATGTCCCATGCGTTTAAAGGTAGAACTTTCATGCTACAAACGCTTTATTTTTCTCTCCGTGTATAAATACAAATTAACAAAGTTTAATCAAAAATAGAGATTAAAATTCATGTATTAAAAATTGCAAGGCGTCTAGCGAATTATTATTTTCAGATTCTCGCGGATTTCCCGGAATTTAAACTACATTTTTTCCGAGTTTGTTTTGCCGTGCAGAAATTGCCCTATTTACTCAAATTCAAATAAAAGCTAGCTTTGTAAAGGCCCTTGTCAGTTTTTTTACAAGTTTGGCATGCCCCGAAATTACTCGGTTCAGACACTTTTTTGTTGTTGTGACATAACCAATATAAAATGATAAATTATGCCTTTTGCCAGTTTTTCAACAAGTCATATTCTGTTTAGTAAACGTTCGTTTAATAAGAAATTCTTTTAATAAAATTTACAAAAATTAAAATTTTGCTATAAAATGTTATATTTATTAAAATTATTTGAAATGAAAATTTTAACTAATTTAATTTACAGGATATTCATGTGACTCGCATAGACTATGTTACATTGCCTTGCGATAATTGATGCTTTACAAGAGGAAATTAAACCTAATTTTTATAATTACAAAATACTTCAATATTCTCGGACTATTTTGAAATCCATCATTATTTTTTCAATATTTCTTTTGTGAATAAATTTATTTAACGTTCATCAGTTATTTTGTTTTTTCTTCCCTGTTCTTCTTTTTATTTTTGGTTCTTTAGAAATTATATCAACAAATTTTTTTTATAATTTTCGTTTTTATTTGTTTTTTGACGTTAGTTATTATAAATTACATATTTTTAATGATGAAATTTTATAAATGACACTTATAACTCATTATTAGATTTAATAAATTGTCACTAGGTCAAATGACCGTTTATTAACTTGGTACCAGTATATTTAAACCGTATACGTATCTCGTTATTCATATTGGTTTACACAAACGAGGTAGCAAATCTACGCAATTAAACTCTATACAAATGAATTCTACACAGCACACTCTACACAGGAAAACTCGATACAATACATTTAGGCAAGTGGTATTAATTCTACATAAATAAACTCTACACGAAAAAAAGAATAAAATATTCTAAAAATTGAGGCGATTTCACTTTCCCATATTTAAACTGTACAATTGTTAATTCTGTCAGTTAAATCGTACATTTAATATTGTATATTAAGAAATCACACCTAAAAATTAATATTAAAATAAATTCTAATGTGAAGAATTCAATTGTGTAGAATTTAATTGCGTAGAATTTTAAAATAATTTATTGAATCAAAATGTGTTTATTTGCGTAGAGTTTTCTGGTGTTCAATTTAACGACGTAATGTTAAAATTTAATTAAAACAGAAATAATAATAGCTACTAATGCGTAAAATTAATTTGTGTAGGATTTAACTGCGATGAATTAAATAAATTATAGGGTAAGTGTACCAGTTATCGATGGTGCACCAATTGTCGATGGTCGTAATTTTCCGAGGGGGAATTTACTAGTTAAAAACGTGTACACTTGACTACCGGTATTACACCTCATATTACCCTTATTACTAAGTTATTACACGTTATTACAGAGTATTACACATTATTACAGAGATATTACAGATTTTTTTGCGTTATTACAGCACCGTAATAACGCATTATTACACGTTATTACACAAGTATTACAGGAAGAGTGTACACTTGACTACCTGAGTAAATTCCCCCTCGTAATTTTCTTTTTCCGACAAATAGTATATTGTAGAAAATTTAATAACCAAAATAATTTGTAAATTAACCTTATATTTCCAATTACATATTTACCCCATTAAATTTCATATCGATGGCACTATAATAATTTTTTTTTTTTAATTATAATTCACTGCTGTCAAATTTACTCGATTCGATATTTTCTTAATACTTCAAGTTGATGAGAGTTGAATTTTAAAAATACAAATTAAATGTATTTCTAATTACTTTTTTCGTATTAAATTATTACTATAGCATTGTAGAAGAACTGTTTTAAGTTTTTATATAAATATATTTGTTAAAATAAATTTTTTATATTTTTTAAATCAAATCATCGGTATCTGGTTCCATATTTTATCTCAGGTCCATTTTTCGAGGTATTGACTCGAAATTCAGTTTTTTAGCTGATGTACCATTTGTCGATGCTTCAAACGAAAAAAAAATGCAAAATAAAATTGGTTAAGTTTTTGTTTTTTATAGGTTAGTTATTTTTTGTATAAACTATAAACTTACAGTTAAATAAGTAAAATTGTTTCATGCCAATGTTTCATAATATTTTTATTTAAAAAATAAATATTTATTTGATTTTGTAAATACTGGTAAAAGTTAATTCACTAATTGTCAGGTTATATGTTAAAAAAATTCAATACCATCGAGAATTGGAACCGAGCATCGAGAAATTGGTACACGACCATCGACAAATGGTGATTTTGCTCAATTTACATTTAAAAACAATTTTTCTCTAACACTATAATTTATTTTAGAAAAATAAATAGGAATATTAATCATTATTAATTTCTTCGTCCAACTGCACAAAATTCAAATTTTTAAGTACATTTACTCCTGAGAAAAAAAATATCAAAGTCACATGTTGTCTAAAATCATCGACAATTGGTACACCTACCCTATTAAATTAAATTTATCTAATTATAAAGTGTAGAATTTTTTCGTGTAGAGTTTATTTATGTAGAATTAATACCACTTGCCTAAATGTATTGCATAGGGTTTTCCTGTGTAGAATTCATTTGTGTAGAGTTTAATTGCGTAGAATCGTTACCACCCCCATATAATAAATGAATTAAAATAATAAATATTTAACCCCTAAAACAGTTTGTTCAAAAACGACAATACGATATATAAGTATCAATGTTAACAAAATTAAACTGATGAAAATACCAGTAAATAAAAGCACACTCCAGAATAAACTGAAATACACGTTAAATTGACGTTTGAAAATTTTCCCGCATGTAACGCCACCTCGGCCTATTCGAATTTTCTGGAATGCTGTTATATAGCGAATGGGGACATTGGTCCTGCAATTTACGCATAGAGTAAAATTTTCTTATTCTTACTTCGTGATTGTCCCATACCAGTTTTCCATCCCAGGCCCACGCCAGAATCATGGCTAACTAGCAAGTGTCATCCAAGGCCCAGGTCATACTTTCTGCACGGATTAATTTAAATATATCTGACACAGTATTCATGGAGTAGTATAAGGAGGCCAAACGACGTCCACAGTATTGTGAACCACTTTTTGATACTCGCTAAGTTCCATTCGGTTATACGTTATCTACCAATACTCAAATATAACTAGTACTATATTCTTGAAACTGGCATATTAAATATACAAATGATGATCTTGTGTAAATTTCAAATTTTTTCTGCAATATTTCTAGATTAAAATTTTCTGTGTCTTTAGAAAAGTTACCGGATCTATTTGCAAATTCCCGAAAATTGCCCGGATTAATATAGACACCCAAAAATTGAAATTAGACACAATTTTTTAAACACAGTGGCATAAGCAAATTTCAAACCGGATTGAATGGTATTTACTGTACTTAAAACCCGTCAATTTTAAAGCAGATCATTATTAAGCGGCATTTAGAATAAAAACAAATATAGTATTAACTAAAATAAAGTGAAATTTATTATTATCAAAATAAAACTTACTCAGCAATTAAATTAGCTAATTCGGGATGAGAGTTGCCTGTTATTATTACTACATCCGCTGCTATTGGCCTGTCCATATTTTAATATCTTGTGTTCAAAACAGCTGTTGACAAAAAAAAAATTCATTTTTTAACGCTAAATGTTAATGAGTTTTTGGTATTCGTAACATTATTTATAATAGATATTAAAAAAATTTTCATTTAATTTAATTTCTCTTTTATTTTTTCAAATCAATTTGACTTTTTTTAATTATGAGAAAAAATTCTAATAGATTCAATATCTTATTTAAGGGGGGAAACTCGTGTAAAAAAAATTTTTACAATTTTTTTTTGCTTTAAAAATTAGTTTACTATCTGTAGAATACGATCCTAGATTATTAATCTATAATTCGATGTATAAATAAATAAATGTCTTGTCAATAGAATCTTATTAATTGTCAGTAGCAAGCATTATTAGGAAGTGATAGTAAATCTTGCTTTAGTGCAAAAGATATTTTCGAACACATATCGTCTTCAAGGCAATAGTTAAAACACTGCTTTTTTAAATCGAAAACATTAAACGATCTAAAACTAAAGCCAATTGGATATTTTCAAGGTCAGATTCGCACTCTACGGCAAAAATCGGTGATTTCGAATTGCGTGCGATTTTTCAGGTATGATCCTTTTTAGCTCGAATTGCGTCCGGATTCATCTCTCTCTGTGTTTGAATTGCGTGCCGTTTCCACCCAAATCGCCTTCGAAGCTAGGCGCAAGGCGCTATTGCTGCTTTTATTCATTTATTTATTTAACAAATGACAAAGGATTATTGCATTACTGCTGCCAGTCCTAAGCCTAGACAGGGTTTCTACAAATTTCTCTTCGCGAAATTTCATGATTTTTCCATGATTTCCAGGTAATAAATGATAAAATTTTCATGATACTTTAAAACTCACTATAAATATAAATTATGACGCATTAAAATACTGAAAATGGGTATAATTTTCAACGAACGTGTAAATTCGAGTCTCAGATCATGGAATTGAAAAAATTCCATAAGATTTCTATAATTCCATGATCTAAATTGAATTTCCATGTTTTCCATGATTTGTAGAAACCCTGCTGGATAAGGCTAACGCAAAATAGCCTTGCAAAACGCAAACTGAGAATCTATTTTGCGTTGGCTTGTAGAGTGCGAAGGGAAATGTGTAACGTAAAATGATATATATATAGGACAACGACCACCGCACGCAATTCGACTATATTAGGGTTACCCATGGCACGCAATTCAACCTATACCTGCCATCCCTTGGTACGCAATTCAACCAAGCGCACGCAATTCGATATCAGCCGCAAAAATACTATAAGAATCGGTTATCATATTTTAGTCAACATGAAGTTGTTGAAATTTTGTCGGCCTGTGATTATTTCTTTAGTTTGTGAGAAATGATCGAGAGGGAAGTTTTCTTTTCTATTCACGGAAAAAAAAGAAATGCTTAAAGATGCTACCTGATGTTTGCTATGGGATCTATCAAAATAAGTAATCATAGCTAATTTTTTTGCTATGACAATGAAAAGTTTTCTACTCTCTAAATAGGAATCAGTGAAAAAGTCACTGGTCTCAAATCAGTCGCTAAATTCTAGCTATTTGAATCAGTGGTTTTCACTGACAATTAGTGACATTTCACTGGAGAATCAATTTGACTAAAAATCAGTGAAATGTTACTGATTTACATACAATGGTCATATTGATCTATAACAAAACTAAAATTTCGGAAAATTGTGTTCTTGTTTATTATTTTCGAGAAAATATCTTAAAACAGTTTTCGTAGAAAAATGCAAATATTTAATTTATTGTCATTTATTTTTTTTCATTATTTTAACTAAACAAAATTTTTGGCTGGTGTATTTCTTGACAATAATCAATTATACTAAAGAACAAAGTATTTCATTTTTTTGTTTTCGACTAAGTACTGTTGAAAATTTGATGAAATTTTAGTTTGGATGTAGATGGCGCTGCCTTACAAGGAACCACCATTAACGGTAGGTCAAAGTCGATGCAATTTTTATACAGAGCTTTAATGGGAAAATCGCATCGACTTTAACCTGCCCTTAAGACTCTGGAATTTGTCTAAGGAATTCTTTACATTTTTATAATCTTCCTTCTTTAAAAATATTGTATTTTTCATTAGTTAGATAACTGTAGTAATTTTCCTTAGACGGTCTTTCTGAATTTACTGTAGTTTTCTTTCAAATACTGCACTCGTTTTTAACAGATGATAAGAAACTTTTACAATTTTTTGGTTACAAATGATGGTCTTACTGTTTTACTATAAGATTTAGTAATTTTTTCAAAAAAAAATATAGAGGTAAATGTAATACTTTTAGATATTTTTAAAAAAAAACTTAGTAATTTGTTACACATTTCTATACTAATACTAAAAATAATAAATATTACAAAAAAGTACCGTCAATAATTTATTTGAATAATTTTTAGCAAAAAATTTTTTACAAATACTTCAAATATATACAAAAACAACGCAAAAAGCTGGAAGGTCTAAGTTATATTTTTCTTTCTTAAAAAAATTCTACTTTTAGGCCTCCTAAAGTAATTAAAGTTTCCTTAATTAAAGTTTTGAAAATTTGTCTTAGTTGGATTCTAAAGTATTCGAAATAAATTTTCTTTATAATATTCTTATAGAATTATTTTTATTCAGGAATTAATATTTGAATTTAATATTTAATAACAGTTATGTAAGGTATTGTCTTATGTAAAATTAAATTTTTTTGCAATTATTTTTTTCCTCCTTAAAAAAATTTATTTACTATTTCTCAAAATCCTAAGTCCGAAAGAAAAACCTAAAGGCTCCAAAGAATTCATCAAAGTGATGCGCGCAATATGTACCGAGAGCCCACGCATATAATTGCCTGTAACTTTATTTCTGAGCTAATACAATTTGTGAAGAATGGTGTCATTTGTAATGATAGTAGAAAAATAAATATTTTTAGTTTTTTGTAATAAATTCTTTTGACAAACAGGTCGTTTACATATGAGGCTCCCCCCTTAAAGCGAAATATTTAATTTATTAACTAATTAATTTTAATTAAAATAAAAAAATCGACTTTTTTTGAATGTATATCAACTGAAACGACTTTTTTGCGCCTTAAAGTCGATTCGAAGCTTGAGTAAGCTAAAAATTGTTTATGAAAGAATATCCCTTTGCCTCAGAAGTTTTCAAGTTGCGTGATTCTCATGACGGCGAGAAGCTGGACGGTGTTGAGAATCATATTTAAAAAATTTTTTTAGTTTTTTTACTCGCATGAAGATACCAATTATAATACATATAAAATGACTGATAAGGATATATTTTATTGACTTTTCGGATGAATATAAATATATAAGTGAAAGAAAAGTGAACTCTCCGTTTTCTAAATTGCCATAGCAACGTATCCTTGACTTTTATTCGTCAACCTCTTCAGTCGCTGTTTACTGTATTTTTTTCCACTGCTATATTTATTAAGTATTTTTATATAAAAAAAATTATGAGACTTAAAATTTGCAGAACAATTTATCAAAATTTGTTTGAAATATTTAACAAAAATTATAGTGAACAATCCAAAGAATTTATTAGATATATTGGACATTAAAAAATAAAGAAAACATTTTTAATTCAGATAATTTTAAAAATGTTTTTTCACCTAAAAATTTTAAATAGAAAAACATTTTTAATTACCGAAAATTACGCACGTTCATTTTCAAAAACAAAAAAAAACTGAATTAGTCACTTTTTAGAAACGACTCTGTATAAATTCCAATAAAATAAGATTATTATTTAAAATTTGTCAAATTAAAATCATTAATTGTTTCTATAAAAAGCATTGTTATTTTGACAAACGTGGAAATATCAATACATTGCCATGCAATAACATTGATAAGAAATAACTTTATCATATAAATTAACAACCATAAGTGATTTTTGTCTGACAATTTATTTTACTTCTTGTTTCTATTAATTATTCAATAAAAATGCTGATGTCACTTGTTAATCTTTCTAAACACAGTTCTATATTAAATTAGTGTAAATAATCTATACACATACTTACAAGTATCGCAAGAAAGTAATTTTTAGAAAACGTCGGTGTTTAAATAGATGTTAAAGTAATTTTCTAAACACTCTTTTAAGTAACAATTTTTCGTGAAATTATTTGTGACTGATGTCTCTCTTTTACAACCGTACCGCAATTTATTGACATACGGTCTACGAGATTGTTGACATTTTAACAAACCAAACCACAATGTATATAGTGGAGATCTTAATCTGATCAGGGATGGATCACGATTGTGCAGGTTAAAGCTGCCAACGACCGTCATCCAACTACGCATGCGCTTCTATATAATGGAGGTTCTACAATAAGGCCTGAGCAGAATAGAAACGTAAACGGAATCGTAACCGCAACCGGAATAATGAGATGTAGAAGGACAAACAATATGTCTATCCTTCTCTAACTCATTCTTCCGTTTACGTTTGCAATTACGATCCGGTTACGTTTCTATTCTGCTCAGGCCTTTAGGTGCAAAAGCAAGTGCAAATGCATATCCCCTTCTCTGACGCATTCTTTCGTTTCCGTTGACGATTGTGTTCCCGTTCAAGAATCTATTCTGCTTAGGCCTTTAGGTAGTTCAAGTTGGGTGGGGGAAAATCCAAGATGGCGATTTGCTGGTACACAACTTTACATTAGAAGTATATGGGAGACACTTGCTTTTCACCGAACGGTCAATACGTCGAACAGATAAAATGTCGAATTGACAAACTGTCGAAAAGCCAATACATCGAACAGACAAAATGTCGAAAAGCCAATACGTCGAACGGTAAAAATGTTGAAAAGCCAAGACGTCGAACAGTCAATACATCGAACGGACAAAATATCGAAAAGCCAAAACATCGAACAGCCAATACGTCGAACGGACAAAATGTCGAAAAATTTTATTGACTTAACTATAATTATAATAAAATTTTTCGACATTTTGACCGTTCGACGTATTGGCTTTTCGACATTTTGCCTGTTCGACAACTTGCCATTCGACATTTTGTCTGTTCGACGTATTGACCGTTCGGTGAAAAGCAAGCGTCTTGTATATGGGATAAAATCTATTTATTTAATTATCTCGCTCAAATGAAATTTTCAATCATATGTATATTACGATTTTACTTTTTATTTTTAAAGAACTATTTAATGCAATAATAAAAAACGATTTAATTTTAAAAAAAATTTTTATTGCATTAAATAGTTTTTAAAAAATAGAAAATAAAATCCTTATATTCTTAGGTTCAAAAAATTTAATTTAAGCGAGCTATTTAAAAAACGGCCTTAGGCCGTTTCCCAATTGAGGTTTTTAGCACATTGTTGAGTGTATACTCGGGAAGTTTACAGCGTCCTTTTGGGTGTTTTCGGGAGTTGCTGACAGTATATTTCTTCTTCTTCTTAATGACTTGAGGCACAGCCAACTGTCAGAACAATAAACTTAGAAGACGAAAAAGTTCTAGAATACACTATATGCTACACTGTTGGTAATACAGGTTAGACAAAATCCAGCTTATTGGAAATTGAGATTGAATCAAATATATTGTTCGCTTGGAAACGGACAAGTCGAGTACAAGGAAAATGACTTTGCCATACGTTGAATCTATTCATGAATCATAATAAACTCCCATGAGAAGAATACATGTGAGAATTGAATTCAAAGCGTATAGGCCATACATTGATATATATAATTGATCTCAATATCAATTTCTAAGTTTCAATCGGAAAAAATAACACAATGGTTGCTTAAAGTAAGACTACCGCAGTCAGGCTCCCTCTGGGCAAAGCAATGAGAGACAAACTCAAGTTGAGAGAAAAACATCAATTGTACTTGTAGCGCGGGAAAATGTCAACACCGGGTTTCAAACACTTTAAATATACTTAAACCTTGAACAAGGGGTATACAGTTAAGATATTAAACTGTCGAAGACCACAACACTACAAGGTGACACCACAAATATACAAAAGATGTTTACATAGATCTACAAAGCATTGTAAACCGCAGAGGTCACAGCACAATAACAGTGAGTCGTCTCAAACTCAGATAAAACCAGAAAAATTTATGAAAGAACACGCGGAACAGAATGAAGTAATAAGATAGATTCTCAGGATGACACAAAAATTTTAGATATTTCACAAAAGGTTACGATGAGCGAGGGTAGAAGTCACTAGTGTTTTAAAATTCTCGGTAAAATTGAAACCTGAGAATGTAAGAAAGAAAATTGCGGTAAATTACCGAAAAAAAGAGAATTTATGAGAATATTCATTTAAGTGATTGATAATTGCCTTTTTTAAATTTAAATATGTATTTTTATAGTATGTAAGTTATAAATAAACGACCGACATGTTATTAAATGAATAATTTGAACAATGAATATAATAGACTGTAAGGGTGCAGTCCCATGGAGCAGATTAGCAGAATAGATTTCAGCCAATCAAAAGTCTCTCGCGGCAAATTTTGCATTTCAGTTAGAGACTGTTTTTTTATTGGTCAACGTCTAATCTGCTAATCTGCTCCATGGGACTGCACCCTAATTTTCTCTGTGTTCTTACTGACAAGATGACAGTCGGGTATATATGCCTGCACTTTTATCATTGTCTAACACGTGCGTCGTCATGGCAACATGTGTGTTAGACAAGGATAAAAGTGCAGGCATATAAATGTACCTGATTCAATATAATAATGTAATATTATATCAATATTAATATATTAATATATATATTATATATTGTAACAAAGATATTTTTCATTATAATAATAATTATACAGTCAGGAACATATGTCTGTACTTTTATCCTCGTCATACACGTTGTCATGACAACGCACGTGTCAGACAAGGATAAAAGTACAAGTAAAAATTCTCATAAATTCTCAGAGAAAAAACGATCCGGTAATTTACCGGTAAATTACCGTAATCTTCTTTCTCTTCTTGACGTAATTTACTGTCTTTAGAACACTAGAAGTCACACTCGCTTATAGAACAAAACTCAGAACTGATCAGGATTAGAACAAACTTCGAAGAACACATCAGAGAGCACGTGGTAGAACGAACGTTTTAATAAAAAGGTTATATAGTTGCTTTCAGAAGCAGAACAAATCATAAGTATTTACTACACAGAACTTGACTAAGATGAACTAAAACTTGTTTGAAAAAAATAATAGGTAGAACAAAATCGATTAAAAATGCATGGAGTGCCGGAACATATTCCGTCCGGACACTACCGCTACCGTTTCGAAACCCGACGATCATCTGACAGTATATTGACAGTAAAAAATTACCTAATCAGAATAAACATGCTTATGGATCAGCTAATCACAACATTCTGACAGTATACTCATAGCAACTCCCGAAAACACCTTTTATGCAATGTTTACATGCTTGCGTTGAAACGTTGCGTTTTCCGTTAAACCATGAGTCACAATTCTCGTCAAGTACCGCACCCTGCTCTAGTGAAAATTTAGTGACTTTATTGTTAAAAATAAAAGTTGACGAGAATTATGACAAATGCGAGTAGGGACAATGGAAACTGACGAAATAGACGGCAACAGGATCCAACGGAATTGTCATATTTGTGAATGACCCTTCAACAAATCCACTTTCCACAAGTGGCACGAACTAACGAACTTGCCACAAGTTGGACGGACTTCGTGCCACTTGTGGTACGAAACACCGCCACTTGCGTCTGAGACGCTCGTGAGCCGTACAGGCTTCCGTAGGAACCAGCCCTAGTTCCAGAAAGGCCTTTCTCCAATAGGATCTTAAACTCTTGCGTTGCGTATGCATTGCGTCGGTTGCTATTGGCAACCAATGCTAAAATCAACGCGTCAGTCACGCAACGCAAAAGTTTAGGTTCCTATTGGAGAAAGGCCTGAATGGGGCTGACGCAAACGCAGACGTGACGCAAGTACAAGTCCGAGTGGATCGGACTTGGTTGCGCGCGCATCGTGTAATTTTTATTTTTTTAAAATAATTGATGGTAATTACTCATTATTAATTAATTAATTGTTTAATTATTAATTAATTACTCATAATTTAATAATTAATTACTATTTATTATCAAATATCTTACAAAATTAAAAGTCAACACGATGCGCGCGCAACAAAGTCCGAGCCAGTCGGACTTGTACTTGCACTTGCCTCTCGGACCTATTGTAGAAGCTCCAGCATTGGGATGCGTCTGCGTAGTGTTTTAAAATTCTCGGTAAAATTGAAACCTGAGAATGTAAGAAAGAAAATTGCGGTAAATTACCGAAAAAAAGAGAATTTATGAGAATATTCATTTAAGTGATTGATAATTGCCTTTTTTAAATTTAAATATGTATTTTTATAGTATGTAAGTTATAAATAACGGACCGACATGTTATTAAATGAATAATTTGAACAATGAATATAATAGACTGTAAGGGTGCAGTCCCATGGAGCAGATTAGCAGAATAGATTTCAGCCAATCAAAAGTTAGTCTCTCGCGGCAAATTTTGCATTTCCGTTAGAGACTGTTTTTTTATTGGTCAACGTCTAATCTGCTAATCTGCTCCATGGGACTGCACCCTAATTTTCTCTGTGTTCTTACTGACAAGATGACAGTCGGGTATATATGCCTGCACTTTTATCATTGTCTAACACGTGCGTCGTCATGGCAACATGTGTGTTAGACAAGGATAAAAGTGCAGGCATATAAATGTACCTGATTCAATATAATAATGTAATATTATATCAATATTAATATATATATTATATATTGTAACAAAGATATTTTTCATTATAATAATAATTATACAGTCAGGAACATATGTCTGTACTTTTATCCTCGTCATACACGTTGTCATGACAACGCACGTGTCAGCAAAGGATAAAAGTACAAGTAAAAATTCTCATAAATTCTCAGAGAAAAAACGATCCGGTAATTTACCGGTAAATTACCGTATTCTTCTTTCTCTTCTTGACGTAATTTACTGTCTTTAGAACACTACGTCTGCGTTTACGTCAGCCCCAATTAGGCTGTGTCAGTTCATCGAGATATTTCGAGTTCAAGATATGACGTCAGAGGCTTGGAGAGACAACAAACATACGATACAATGTTATTCTTATGGGGAAGAAAATTAGTTTTCACTGTCATCAATTTTATTCATATTTTAAACATAGAAAACGCTTGTTGACATATAATAAAATTAAAATGTGTGTTGATAATTAATTTTGTTATATATTTGATTCAATTGCATTGATAGATTCTCTGAATTCGTGATAAAATATAAATTTTGAG